AAAATAAAACCCTCGATCTAATACTCATATATATAGTATATATGACGTTGATACACAGATAAATGTATTACAGTAATCCCCAGTAAGGCAGACTTGTACCAAAAACATAGCCTATTACAATAAAACATCTCCAATAGCCTATTTTACGTGCATCTGTGCATACAAAAAAACATTTATTCATTCTACAAGTCTAAATGTACCTTTTAATTACCTTTTACCGCTGAAAAGTGGCACAGTCGTGGGTATGGCCAGGTTTGAAGTCTTGGTCACGTTTGTTGAACGTGGGGGTGGAAGCAGTGTTGCCAACTCCTCAGTAAGGAAAGTAGCTATTGGCTGTCCCAAAAGTCGCTAGAAGTCGCTAAATGACGTCATCGCCTAATTTGCATAATTTGCCATTTGCAAATAACTGTAACGGACGCTGTAGGAGAGAGGAATAAGGTCGTGGGAGAGACAAAAGTGAGTAAAAACACCCTAAATATGTTTAGAACTACAAATGTACAAAAATAATTTCAACATTAACAACATTTAATGATTTTAATGCTTTGTCTAGATCCACATTACACACATCAGTTTTGTCCTGTATTGTTAAATGTTATAACAGCAAATGTAATCAAAAGATTGTTATGTAGGGTGAAATTGCTAGCTCTACAACCAACCCTCCTCCTTTATCCGGGCTTGGGACCGGCAAAGTGACCCAAAAGACACACTCTGGCAGAGTTACTTAGGTCTATTTTTGTAAGTTTTTTTTTTTTTCATAGTTTGGCATAACAAATGATTTAATGTGACCCACTACTGAGAGAAAACAGAGTCACGGACAGAGCTGCGGCGGATGGAGTGGGGGGTAGTGGGGGGTGGCGGTGGTAGGAGTGGCCGGGGAGCTTTGGATGTGTGGTGGTGGTGGAGCTGAAGTTCAGTCTGCAGCAGCCTGAAAACTCCCTGTGCTTTTGAGTCTCCTCTCTCTCTCTCTGCTCCGCCCATAGACTGTAGCTGGGACTGCTGCGCAAGGCTACTGTGAGACAGACTGGCCGCCTGTAGTGCTTTGGGACGGGGGAGGGGCTCACGTTGAGGACAGCAGAACAATACGTGCTTCACGAGTCTCCAAAACACCAGATAAGTCGCCAAAACACCAGATAAGTCGCCAATAACACCAGAAAAAGTCGCTAGATTTGTCGCTAGTCGCTTTTTTGAAAAAAAGTCGCTATAGGGGTCTGAAAAGTCGCTAAATCTAGCGACGAAGTCGCTAAGTTGGCAACACTGGGTGGAAGCCTCTGGAGCACATGGTGTGTCATCTTCTGCAGCGTGGTATGGCAGAGTCCAGCGCTGTTATTTTCAGTGCTGCCCCCTGTGTTGGAGGGCTGACTTGGTACAGCGCATGCGCTAGATGAGCTCGACGAAGAATTGTTCGTTTGATCAATTAACTTTTATAAATTATTACCGATTTGAAATGGACAACTAAATGAACAAACATTTCTTTATCAACACGCAATGTTCAATCTGTATGGTTTTAATTGTAAAGACCAATTTGATTGTCTTTATTTAAAACAATGGCAAAGAACATATTGAATGAACAACAGCACTGTTTTACTTTTTTCAGTGTAGCAGACTAGTGTCAGTAATAACACTAATAAAAACAAAACAGTAACAGTGGTAATTATGCTGTATTTTCTATGGGAATAATAATGTTGCTAATGTTAGCTTGTCTTGGCTGACTTCACTGATTTATGTTTATGAGTAGTAAATATACTACAAAAAGTCTCATGCTACGCTAACCTTATAAGGCCCAATGAAAAGATGAATTTGGCTTGTCATGGAAGCATTTCTATCTGTGGAATTGTATTATTACAGTTAGGCTTACGTTTATATATACATAATAGACACTTAATAGACACCCCTTTGAAATGTTCATTAGTGTGAATATAATGTGGCTTCAGGCTTTTGATAATTAACTTTGCTTTACATTTGCTGAAGTATCAGATCTTGGAAAATATACACTTTGATTTGGTCTAAATATCATACAAAACAGTAACATGTCTTACCTCTGTTGAAGTCATACCCGCAAATCTGTAACTTATCGAGGACAGGACCATACCAGCTATTTATGTTCTGTTCCTCGTGCACGCGCCTCTCATTCAGACTGCAGTTACACCTCTGGCCAGAGGGGGGTTCGTGAGCACAAAAAGTGCAAACTCTGCAAGGCTCCTTTAAGTTTAAATGGACTACATACAAAATTTAAGTGGACTTTTTATAGAATGAATAGTGGCAACCCGTGCGTTAATGCCCCCAGCCATGTGTGACACCCAGCGCGTTTTACAAGTTTACTACAGTCTAGCCTGTACTTGAACCTGGGTCCTCTCGCACCAGAGCCTAGCTCCTTATCATTGAGCTATAAAGCCACAGAAAGATCTCCGGTGAAGAGAGAAGAATGAGCGGTGAGAAGCCAATGTTCCTAACCTTGCTCACAAGTGCCACCTGGTGGTTGTTTGGGTCATTGAAGCATCACTGGGGAAAAAAAAAAAAAAGACGCGTGTTTCACACGTGAGTCTCGTGCTATTCACGTGTGAAAGGCGACAAAACGAAATGGGACCTACTGTACCACAGGTTCAATTGTGCGAGGACCATAACCTTGTCTTAAAGTTAGAAAAAACTAAAGAGAGTACAATAGCGTCAAAAAGACCAGATAAAATAATTTGCATTCCACCTTCTTCACTGCAACAAATGCTTGTTTACACAAGGGGGATGGAATAAAGTGGCCCATCAATCAGCGAGAAGATCAGAGTTCCCAATAGAATGGCTTGAAATATGAATTTGTTTTATTAGCAATTAAACTCTGAGAGTGCATTCATGACATAGGTTAGGCCTAATGAAACAAGCCATATTAAACATCAGTTGCTCCATTTTCTTACCCTTAATCCATTTCTGGGTTGGGAGCATGGATCTATAAGAATAACTTAATAGGGTATTACTAGCTTACGACTGTCCCACCCACGGGCACAGCCCGTGGTGCTGCAAACAAAATTCACGAGGGCTACCCAGAAAAAAGTCCCATAGGACTCAATTTAAATTAAAACATCTCGACCTCAGCTGACAGAGAACCTACAGCTTTCATAAAGATCGGATTTTGTGGGAATTTTATTGTCCCTTATCATCCTGAACTTTTTTTCTTCTTAAAGTCTTTGTTTTTCTTTAAATCCACACTTTTCATGCCACAAACTCTGCTCCCTTCCTTCCCGCTCTGACTCCGCTCTGCTGCTGATCTGATCAGCAGCTCTGATTGGTCAGAGCGCGGCCGAGCCCCTCTGTGCGCGTGCATGAGAGCCACACAAGCACGTTTGTCGCAACGCATCATGGGAGCTCCTCCACTGCGCAAAATCGGGAGGCCCAAATTTAGGCGAGTTCAGCTAATCTCCCGGTCTCCGTGAAGTCCCACGCTCTACTGAGCACAAGCCATTCATTTAAATGGGGCGCCATCTTGGATCACCGGGGCTTGGTTGGGAGGTTGGCAGTTAGAGCTGCACCCAATGCACATAGCACCAGCCCCTCACTGATCCTCCTGCAGGTGGTGAGTACACAGGAGCCTTGATCTTTCAGCAGGGGGCTTCGGGTAGAGTGGGGTTAAGTGTCTTTCCCAAGGACACAACGACAGCAGACATCCGTGGGAGTTGTGAAATAGGTCTCGTGGTGAGCTCGAACCAGTGTTAATTTTGACGAGAAAGTCTGATATCGTTATAGTCTTCATTCTAGTTTTAGTCATCTGATTTAATTTAGTTTTAGTCCTATTTTAGTCGACGAAAGTATGAAGCAATTTTAGTCGATTTAAAAAATACTTTTTTCCGAAACATGTTGCTCATGACATTTGCATAAATAGGGATATTTTTGTGCAAATACATATGGTATTATCGCTTTTAGCATACGATAACAAACGTGTCCACATGATGGCGGTTTAGCAAATTAATCACCTCGAAGCTTCCAACCATGTTAATGCTGCATACCTTTTCACGGTGCCTCATTTGGCCATCTCTTATTTTCTTCTTTGTCAAACGTAAAAAGGGTCCACAGATATCCTCTTCTTTTTATCCCAGTCATGGACATTTTCTTGTTCTTTTCATCATTGCTGGATACTTTAGAGGCTTACGTGGTGTTGTGGTTAGCGTTAGCAATAACTTCTGTTCACAGCTCGCGCCACCGGTGCTTACTAAGGCAAGCCCTCATTGGTCCTCCTCGCAATGCTCTGGCCATTCGATTGGTTGTTTTCTCTTTTGCTCTTATACATCCGTTCTTCTGATCTGATTTTGTCATGGTCAATTTTTTTTCGTCTCGTCTTTTATTCATGGACGAAAATGTGAATAGAATGACTTCTATTTTAGTTTTTGTTTAGTTTTTGTCCCCAAAAATATATTAGTAACAAAAAATATAACGCTAATATTTCATCAACAAATGAAACACTGGCTCGAACCCACAACTGTCGCCCCCACCATGCTAAACTATACTCTAAATAATCAAGTTGAATACTTTTCTGTTTCATTCTTGATAAGAAGAGGTGCCAAGGGCCCTTTGCACGATGCAATTGGGGCGCGCGTGACTGCACGGAACATGTCGTTTTTGCTGTACGGCGCTGACTCTGTGTCACTCAAACGTGGAGAAAGAATTCTCATTCGCAGATTGTTTGCCCCTCATAGTGGAAGGCAGAGCAGACTGGCCATAGGTGCATTGAGAATCCTGTACACACGACAAATACACAGAGAACCTGGATTATGGGAGTCTCAGGAAGTTTCCATGTCTTCCCTTCATCTAAAATTCCCTAAATTAAAACCGCTCCTGAGCAAGATGATAGAAAACCAGCAAACTACCTCCAACTAGATTTCTCAGCTCGCCTCCATGCTCAGTGGGTACAAACCAGTTTAACCCAATCCATATCTAATGTTAAATCTGAAAATTATGTTAAATGGAAAAGCATTGCATTAAGTCCGGTTCAGACCCGGGTCAGTCCACAAGAGAAGCCCATGTCCCTGATCCAGAATACTACGGAGGTCAGTGTGTGGGGTTTTTCCTAGTGTTTAGTCAAAAAACAAAGACTTTCGCTCCTGACCATTCAAAAATGTATTATATCATGGCAATATAAAAAAAAAGGGCATTGGGCTGGGAAAAAGCTAGTTGGCAGAATGATTTTGACATTCAAACTGATGAAGTTTGTAAATAAATTCAGTTTTTGACCATTGTGTTTAAGGCTTCCAAACGCCTACTTACTATTTGCCAAGGGACATGTAGTGTGGCAGAATATTCTGTTGAATTCAGGACATCAGCAGCTGGAGCAGGTTGGGATGATAATGTTCTCTAAACAGTTTTTGTGAATGGCTTGATTGAACAATTGAAGGATGAGTTGCCTTTGAAAGAAGATTGTATCCTTTGTACATCCATCAAGTTAGATAATCGTCTTCGTGAACGCACACAAGAGCAATCCAATGGACTGGCCTCCTATTCAGCTTTTTGGCTAAAAAAACTTATCCTATGGTTCCCCACACACTCCTGCTTTCTGTAAATCACAAAGAGTAAATAGGTATGAATTTTATTTCTGCTCCACTTTCACTTTCACTTTCACTGATTCTTGGGTACCCTTGGTTACTGCTCCATAATCCGCATTTTGATTCGGCAGGTGGAAAAATTCAGAGCTGGAGTTGATGTTGTCACTGTCTGTAATCAGCTCTTCCTAACACCATCGCTTCCTAAATCTACAGAGCAGCCTGACCTGTCCAACGTCCCAGAATATTATGTGGAGCTACAAGAGGTGGCAGCAAAACGCAGGCCCTGTCCTTACCTCCCCACCGGCCTTATGATTGTGCCATAGACCTGTTTCCCGGAGCCCCATTACCCACCAGCTGTTGGTAGAGCCAGTCTCGACCGGAACATGAGGCTATGGAGTGCTACATAAAAGACTCATTGGCAGCGAATATTATCAAACCTTCTTCCTCATCCCCTTTCTCAGACCCCAGAAGAACATGGGAGAAACAGCTCTGCCTGCCTCCATCCACAAGCCTCTTTTCCCTGGGTGGGTCTGGAAGATAATAACTAAAAAGCACTAGTGTAAAGTTTCAGCATCAGATGTTGAACAAGATTTCTCCTAAAATCCATCAATATAAGAGACAGTGAGCACTAGTAGAAAGACGATTACAAATGATTATGATTGTGTGTCTCCTAAAGAAAGATTTCCGTTTGTTATTTTTCCATCAGAGAGCTATGTGTAATGGGTGCAGCTCTGACTGCCACCCCCCCAACCCAGAAATGGATTAAGGGGAAGAAAATGGATGGATGGATGCATATTGCAATGTGGTTTACCCCATAGACACCTTGATGTTAGCGTTGACAAACACCCACCCTTTCTTTAAAACTTTGTTGAGGCATGTACAGGGGCAATTACAGCCCCTACAAAAAAAAACATAGAAAATTACAGTAAAGTATATCGTTCCCGCCATTTTTAAAAAAATCAGAGCTTTTAAACATTTTCTGAAGTTGTCGTCGGAAGTGTTTGTCTGCACGGCCAGCATACAGGGAAAAGTCGTCCGAACAACTCTGTCTTCAAACCTGCTTTAGACCTACTTTTAAATCCAGCCCATCTGAGCTGCGAAGCCCAAAGTGGAGGGAGCAAACACCATGAGTTTCTCAAATTAAAGTCCTAATTGAAGCCCAAAACTATTATTTTTTTAGATAGTAGACAGCCTCTGTGAATCAAAATAAAGCGGGGAAATGCTCCATGATACTTATTGTCTTTGCATTTGAGTGACAGAGGCAGAGTTCACTGCGCTGAGCCTGAATCTCAAGGACACAGAGCCTTTCATCAGTAAAGACAGTAGTGATGATCCAGACATTAGACATACAACAGCATTTCAGGACAGCTATTTACATTTATGGAAACTGGCCCCTTTTGGACCAATGTGTTTTTATCATTGCATTTACTCTGTTAAAACGGTTTGATTCTTTGATCTGTGTTGGGGAATCGAGAGCTTTGTAAAGTCCTCCGAGATTACTGTTGTAATTTCTACAATTTATTTACAAGCGTCTATCAAAGATATATTGAATTGAATGAATCTGATCAATAAAGTCTTCAGGACTGCATCTTAGCTGTAAACAAGGATATTCTTCAAGTTGTCTTTACTGTTTGGAGCGATCAGAACTGTGGGGATAGATCTGAAGTGTGCAGACCAGCCTGGGTGGAGCAGAGACAGGGGATTGACCACTGTAATACACGACAAAGAGACTTTTTTTACACATATACACTCAAATGATGGGATGAACATATTTCATGTGGTTTAAACCCAGCCCACACTCTGCAAAAAGTCCCTTGCAAGAAACAAGACAAAAAAAAACCTCAAAAGACGACAATTCTGCTTATATTAAACGGAGTAAGACTTTTTTCCTTGTCTAGAATTCTTGTTTTAAGATTTTTTTCCTAATGTATAATGGGAAAAAAACAAGAATATATTTCTTTATTTAAGCAATTTTCTCCCAATAAAAAGGTCAAATATAAGAAAAATATTCTTATTGGATAATTTTAGGAAATAATGCTTAAATAAATGCTTGATTAAGGATAAATTTGCTTGTTTTATGTTCTTTTTTTGCAGCCTTTTTTCTAGTTGTAGACTGGTTTTAAGCAGAATTGGCTTGATAAGCAAAATAATATAAGCAATACATATGTTTTGATCAAAGCAGTGAACACAAATGCGACGGACAGGTTAACAGGGTTTATCAACAGGAATGAAGGTTGGGCTGGAACTGGTAGGGTGGGCTGGAACTGGAGCAGGAGCAGGAGCAGGAGCTGGAGCTGGAGCTGGAGCTGGAGCTGGAGCTGGAGCAGGAGCAGGAGCAGGAGCAGGAGCTGGAGCAGGAGCAGAAGTAGGAGCTGAAGCAGGAGCTAGAGCAGGAGCTAGAGCAGGAGTGAAGTGGCTGCAAGTGGCACAAGTTTCTGACATTCTGTATGGCTGTCTCCATTTTTCAATCAAGTTGGTTTTGATCATAGTTCCTGTTTCAATCTCAGTTCACCTAAAACCGAGATTGTAACAGGAAACGTCAAACGCCTTCCAGAAAGCGCCGGTTTTAGTTCTAACCTGAGCAAGACCACACCAGACTCCACCCATTTCCTCAAACCTTCAGGCTAAGGCCCTGTCCCAATACCCACACTGCACCCTACACTCCTCTACGAAGTGCGCATTTGTTTGAAGTGCACGTTTGAGTGCGCAAGTTACAAGCGTGCAAAAAGTGCAGGTTACGTCATTGACTAGTGAAGAGATGGTCATTTCAAGACCTAAACTTGATCAAAATTAAAGGTAACAGACGGTTTTAGGCTCAAAAGTTAGATTTGATCTAATTTGCATTAAAATGTCAAAAAAATGACCAGGACATGTAGAGAGCACTGTAAGAAATATATTTATACATTTTATGAGTTAAAAAAAAGTTGGTGTTTAGTTTAATCTGTAGCCACACTGGCACTTTGAAGAACAGTTTGCCACACAGAGACCTACAGTAGAGCTTTCAATAAGGTTGAGTAGGGCTGGGCGACATGGCTGAAAACTAAATCACAGTATGAGAGATACATATCGGTCGATATCGATCATTATTGATTGTGTTTTTTGTTTTTGTTTTTCAACCTACATAAATACATTTGTCGTGTCGGCTAACACGTTGGCAGCTCTTTTTTATAGTCACAGGGAAATAAGAACTCAGGCTGGAGGCAAGCACAGTGTCCCCCATTGTCAGTCCTGGTTGAATCCTGGTTTAGTCCTGATTTAGTCCTGCTTCGGCTGTATTCTAGTGTCTTGTGTCCCCGTTACGGCTCCGTGCGGCTCTCTGATAACCACACGTGTTTCGAGGAAACGAGGAAAAAGTTCATCTCTTGCTTTTGCCGCATTGAGTCTCTGCACTCGCTGCCTCTCGCTCGCCGCACATGGTATTCCTCGGACGAACGTGCTTAACCATTGACACGGCATTGAAACACAATGTAATCTATAGATGCATGGATGCTACGCATGGTGCTGATGTTTTTTTTGAGTGTAGTTCCCAGAATGTTTTGCGGTTTATGCTCCGCCATGGTAGGACAAGAAGCCTCTACCTACATCCCCCAGAATGCCGTGCGCTTTTGACTTGGCGTTACTTCCATTGTTTTCTTCCTGTTTTGAGGTGAAGTTAAACTATCGAACATTCTATCGACCCCATTTTCTATTGATATCGAACACGTGTCTATCGCAATACATATTGTATCGCAATCTCCGATCGTTTTATCGGTCAGCCCTAAGGTTGAGCTAGTGTCATCACTTTTGAGTTTTGTTTATTGTTATTTTGATTAACGCTTTTGTAGCACAAACTCTATTCACTGTCATACTGTGCTCACTTCTTTCTGATCTGCACTCTGATAGGTCCACAATCAGCATACATTGGTCAAAATCCTGGACACCAATTATCCTGAAGTGCCAAGAAAGTAAATGTGAGGGCCAAAGAGCTGAACACATTTCATTTAATGTGTTTTCATCAGCCTAAATAGAATACTGCCTCCAGGTTAGCAGCCGTATAATGACGTTAGCCTAGATAAGGTTGCTGAGGGCTGCGTGAGACCGGCCTTCAGCCGGCTTCGGTCACTGAGGGGGGAGGATGAAGCGTCCTGACACTGGCCCGCAGCTCACCCGTCAGCAGCACATCGCACACACGTACTGTTCTAACAGGGGTTTAATAAGCAGGACGCAGACAATGCAAGCAGGATTGGGGTCGTTTAAATGAATTTATTTATTTACTTTATTTGACAGGGACACTGCAGTCAGACAGAGTTACAGAACCAAGCTTTCCACTGATGTGATGCATTCAGAGTTCAAAGCAGATGCTGTCCCTTGTTGGGCGTTTCTACACTTACATTTAAAACTACATACATACAGAATCTCTCACTCATTTGAATACTCACTAACTCGTTCTTCCATGAACTGTTCACTCGTGCAGTCACAAACACTATTTACAAATAGTGTTGGTTTGGTTTATTTGTTTTTTTCAACCAAGACTTAAGCCCAGAGGTGGATTTTGAAATCTGAAAAATGACTGATTTGGATCCATAGTTTACAGGCCTGATCAGAGAAAGCAGAGTGTGCCTAAATTTCACTAGACCCTGGGAGTTTGTGTTTGAGAAGCTTCTTGTCTGTCTGCTGCCCTGGGGACTTATGAAACCCTTTAAAAGCATTTGAGGATACATAAATCCTGGAAATGTCAATACTTAGTAAACTAATAGTTTTTGTTTTAGAATACTGCAGTAATGAAAAACTTGCAGCTTTTTATCTATGTTTTCTCTTGCTTTATTGTCAAATGAACCGATGCGTGTTATGGCTGAGGGAGCTGCCTGGATCCCTGCTGTCATGCAGTATGATATGTGTCAAAGTCATAGCGTGCCTGTACAGGAGGGCCGTCTGCTTTAGAGTATAATGCTGCATTTTAAGCATAGGTTTTGCTGTATAGCTTTTGATATTACTGAGTTTATTTAATGTTTTTTAACAGGTAATTATTGAATTTGATTCTAGGGTTATGCAAAGTTAGTCCAGGTTCAAGGAGAATCTGAAATCTGGTATGTTTTGGGGAGTAGACAGCATATGTTCACGTAAGGCAAGGCAAGTTTATTTGTATAGCACAATTCATACACAAGGCAACTCAAATTGCTGAACAAAACAAGAAAGCATTAAAATCATAAATAATCACAGAACATTAAAAAGAAAGATAAAAATATAAAATCCCTCAGTTTTAGCGCAGCTAAACAGAACTGTCTTTAACCTGATTTTAAACATTGTCAGAGAGGAGGCCTGTCTCACATCTTCAGGAAGATTGTTCCAGATTTTAGCAGCATGAATCTGAAAAGCAGCCTCCACATGTTTAGTTCTGACTCTGGGCACTAACAGGAGTCCAGTCCCTGTGCTCCTCAGAGTCCGGGCTGGTTCATATGGGACTAACATGTCACTAATATAATTTGGTGCGAGGCCATGGAGAGACTTGTACACAAGCAGAGCCGTATCCCCCTAGAACTCCCTTCTGGCTGCACTTTGGTTCCTGCCGCACTCCGGCACAATTGACCGTGTAGGAAAAAACTCGGAATTGTCTTTGTTTATTGCGCATTGAAACTTTAAAGCACCTTTTTATCCTTCTGTATCTCCAGTGTTTTTTTCCGCCTCACAGCAAAGCCCTGCGACTTTTGGGTAGTCTCAAGATGATAATCTTTTTTCAATTTCCAAGGTCTAATCGCCAAACCTTAATGAACATTTGATGTTCAAATGCAACAAATATTTCAAGTGTCTGCCCGTTTGTCTAATCATGCAGCTACAACATAATTATAGATACATGCTATAAATATTATTCTAATGTAATCTTTGAATCTTAGCCGACTTAACTGTGATTAGGCTGAATATAATACAATACGCAAACATTGTGTGGTCAAAACTGCAGAGGAGATTTTAGAAAAACTGACCAATGAGATTAAAAAAGTGACACAGAAGCTCTCTTACTCTAAATCAAGACAAAACTGTTTCTATGTATTTCAAAAAATTTAAAATTCCACATAAACCTAGCATTTTAATTGATGGACAACAATTTGCAATTGCAGAACAGGTAAAGTAATTAGGAGTTATATTGGAACTAAATGTAGATGTAAAAATCAAATACAATTAAATTTAACATGGTACAATTTAGAAATTCACTTAAAACAGAGGCCTCGGGAGCCTCTGTTAATGACATGATTGTTCCCCATCTTCTTTATTGTATGACTAGTTGGTCGCACAACTAGTCACTATATCAAACCTCACAAAAAATCTACAAAAAAATCCACATCACTGTCACATTCTTACAAAACATAAATCTTAAGCTGTGATAATTTGATCCAACATACTAATTTTTGCTTCCTTTATAAGATCCTTCATGACACCGCTGCTCCACTGAAAGAGTTCCTCTCTTTGGGCTTCAACGTAATAACACGAGCCAATAGATCAACCGAGCGCGGCGAGTGTTGGATCCTCAAATGCAGGACAGCTTTTGGAAACTTTGTTTTCATATGTTCTCATGTAATATCATAACATCAGCCTGCCCAGGGACTACAGGTGGAAATGAGCTCTTCAGCTATAACCTAGTACAATGGATCTTTCCCTTTGAGGTACATTTTTTTTGTACACTGTCCCTGTCATCTACGTAGAGCACACACACCTTCACAAAGATATCTAACATTAAAAACTAACCACTTCACAAATCTGATTTTGGTTCAGGGCAGATTAAGATTGGAACTTATGACCTGTGTCGCTACGATTAACGAACATCTCACCGTCCGTCCAAACCCCTAGCTCCTTGTCCACACTGACAACAGGCGGGAGGTAGAGTCTACTTCTTTGATTTTACAACTGGAACTTATCGATGCTAAAGTGCACATAAAGTGTATTGTTGTTGTTCACCTTGTCTCCTTGTCTGTTTTCATGGCACTTGAAACCATGGACTTCCCGGCTCGGACCTCTGAACCAGTCCCCAGTTTGCTGTGGAGGAGTTAAAAGGTCTTGTGATTTGCTAAATTGATTTGATTTTGGTGAAAGTATATACATAAATCAACCACAAAGTTGTTTGCCCACACCACCAAGTGTTGTTGGATGTGTTACTCTCAGTTGTGTCTCCGTGTAGTGATGGCCTTGGTGAAATCAGGGCCAACAAACTCGGGAGTCATTTAACGTAAAATGTCATTGCAAAGCATTTAGTGGTGATATTTTTTATTCAAGAGTAAAATAAAAAAGAGACAAAGGACAAATCAAAGTTTATTAAAAAAATAAATGTAGCTGAAGGTTAGAGGGGATATGAATGATTTCTGTGTAAAAATATATTTCATTTTCATTTGAACGAACTGTCTGCCCTGTTCTGGCCTTACGCACTTCACGCTGTAAGTACTTTTCAAGGACATACAAATTGCATCATTGACTCCCATTAAAAACAGACCTGCAGATGTTTTCACTCCATTCAAACTGATTGGAGTGAAAAAAGACAGATTGAATGTTGACCTCATGACAAACTATGCCAGAAAGAATCCCCAGTATTCATCCAGTAGGTGGCGCTATATCTATGTCAATAACAGTAAATCAAACACAACACAGTGGCTGAGTGGATAGCACTCTTACTTCTCAGTAAGAAGGTCCTGGGTTCAAATCCTGGTCGTAACGGGGTCTTTCTGAGTGGAGCTTGCATGTACTCGCCGTATTTGCGTGGGTTTTCTTCAGGTGCTCCGGTTTCTTCTAGTACTAACAACATGCACAATAGATCTAATATACGCCTCCTGTACGACGACCTTCCTTCTATCTCTGTGTGGAGAGAGAGACAAATGCCCACAACAACTGTAAAGCGTTTTGTGACTCATGGTCTGTGAAAGGCGGTATATAAATAAAGATTACTTACTCACTTTCATCTGTCTAAATCCTCTCAAACTTCAGTTCTATGGAACTTTATTCTGGGTAGTCTACATGAATTTAGTCTGCAGAACCACTGGCGCCCCCTGTGCCCATAGGTGGGACAGCTATAAACTAATAATACCCTGTCCAGTTATTATTATAGATCCATGGGAGGGACCTTGTGCCAGAGTTTATCCAAAAGCAAAAAAAAATTTCTTTGTAGTGATTAGCACATAAACAATGTATTCATAACATTGATTAACAACCCAGAGGCGACTCCATCTGTGCTGCTGTGACCCGTCCTGCTCCACCCAGAGGCTACTCAAACTGCGCTGCTGCGTCCAGCTCCACCCCGAGGCTACTCCATCTCTGCTGCTGCGACCTGAAGGGCTGTTTCTGATTATTACTATTGTTATCTTTTTAGAATGATCAATTTTATATTTTATTTTTGCTGCTACTGGACACCTGAATTTCTCCAAAGGGTCAATACAGTATCTATCTATCTATCTCTATGACATTGACAAAGACATCTGGCAAAGTTCGAAACTGTGTTGTGCCTAGAAATCAGACAAAAAGGTTTTGGCACAATTGACCCGGAGTTCATTATTATAGCTTTATGGTTATTCAAAAAGAGTATGGGGGGTTTAAGGTACCAATCCACGTCATTTCAAGATGCAACAACAGATATAAAAAGATAGTATATATGACTTGGTACATCATCATCTTACGTGGCAATAAAAATGATTCTGATTCTGATGTGCAATATGTGAATGACAGTGGTATTAATCAGATGCAGGAAACTATAAGGCTTTATCCCTAAGTTGTCATAGGGCTATTGTTCACACACCCTTTCCTGGCTGGTCTCAGAATTATGCAGTCCTTCTGAATGATTTCCTGGATTTTGAAACCTGATTTCAGTTTTCCATGAGATTGTGCATGCGTGGCTCAAGTAAAAATTTTCGTTTGCATTGCTCTGTCATCAGTGGTTGTCTCTGTGGGGTCAGTGAATTGCTCTGCCTCGCTGCCATAGTGACGATTGTGAAACTGTAGAGTGGACGACAACCACACATAACTGTGACATGTAGATTTATGCGCAGGTAAATCAGAAATGACAGAATGACTAAGCTATAGAGAGTTAAGAAAGCTCTATTGTGCATTAAATTACCAATCATCCGTAATTGCCTAACCACAGAAAGGTGAAACCACATTCCAGAGGCCAACCGTATAGGTATTTAGGAGAATTATCTACTTCCGGGTGGATCATCAAGACTATTGGTCCTCCCAGATGTCAATCATTCTGGTGATAGTGCTCATCAATAAAGACCAGTGTATTTTGTCAAAACGTTGAGAGGGTGATATACCTTTAAGTATGCATTTGCTGTAGGAATTTGATTCTTTTTTTCTATTTTAATTTTATAATTCAAGTATTTCCAGAGCCTGATGTTGGAGACCGCTGATGGTAGACTTTATAATAATCCGAAGCCTCCATCTGCTGGATCAAAAGAGACACTACAAGTCAAAGTGATAGTCCCTTTACGTATACAATCTCAAAACATTTTCCTGGTGGGTATAATTATATAGAGTCTTTATGAATACAGACATCATTCGTAAAAACTGACCTGCCAGTTAAGAGTAGCAATAGTAGAAATAGAATGAGATTGGAATGATCAACTTTGAATAAAATATAATCCAGTAACATTTGTCATAAACAGACCAGTAACAGAGTATTTATGTCACAAAATCTTATTACAGTCTGTCCTTATGCTGCACTGTATACATAGGCAGTCAAATGCACTAACAGGTTTTACACTAGGCCATTGATCTCGGGAATAAACAATCAACCAATATGTGAATGTTGTCATTGTACATACTCGTTGGAAACAATCTGGTGCAACCCGTGCCCCCCGCCCCCGTACCCAATGCATCTTTCCTTGTCAATGTTTTTAATTTCCAATTCACCTAATTATTATTTACCTACTATTGAATGAAATATAAACGAACAATGAATCAAATGCACATATATACATGGACTACAATGGTTTATTTTGGTTCCTTCATAACGATAATAACTAAATAAACAAGCCCTCGCGATCTCCACTGTTTTTCTCTCTCTGCTAACTTCGTTCGTAATCTCCGCTCCGGAAAGCCTCTCTGGCGCAGGCTCAGCAGCAATTGGAGGGAGCTACATGCTACATGCTACATGCTAACAGGAGCTCAACATCCTCGAGAACACGCTCCTCTGCTCGCCTCCTGCACTTTTAAAGGTACAATTGTCCTTTTCACTTCGTTTTCAAAGCGCAAACTCCCTCCTGGATGTGTCCAAGTGCGGACTGGACGAGAAAACTTGAATAAGTGCTGTCCAAACAAGCAGATGGGCATGGGACAGCAGCTGCACTAATTCAAAACAAGTCTCATGTGAGGTGGAAGCAAGATCTGGACACATTTAGCAAATCGCAAAGACAGTAATGATTTAAGTCTTTATCAATAGAAAAGAAAAAAGGAGGAATACATGCTTGAGGTAAAGAAAAACAATATATTGATATGAGTTTATTGAATTTAGATTGGCTAATTTAACCATCATCTTTATCCTTATAATAAGTGCAGTAGATGGAGTTATGACATTTCAAGTGTAACATGTCTTTGTCCTTTTCATATTTTAGCTTCTTCTTCCACTGCCCAAGCTTCTTAATCCAAGCATTTATTATATATGTGTGATACCAAGCTTGGTGGTACCAACCAGACAGTCATGTTTAAAGTGAACCATTCACTACAACAGGCTGTCTTTATTTTATTAGGAAAATATGTTATCCTTTGCACACTTGTGAGGAAAGAGCCCTGTGTGACACATTTTATCAAATGTTAATGTTATCAAACGTTACTAAGCTATAGAGAGTTTTCTTCGCATTTAAGACGGCTTTATGCACTGAAATATATTTCACTTTCAACGTGTTTTGAAAATATTGCCATTGCGAGAAGTTATCAACCATCACACTACTATTGTATACATTTGAAATGGGTGTGATGTGCTATTTATTCTTTAGCTCAGGCATGTTCAAGGCTCTGTCATTATATGTGGCCCTTTGCCATGCTGACTCAAAGTAGTCATTGAGATCATAATGTGTCATCCAGCCAACTTCAGTTCTGCCAATATACGTATAAACACCGAAAGCCCCTAACCTCTGGACTTTGTTGACGTTATTTCTATATTGATTGAGTCACAAAATTGTGTGTTTGGCGATATCTGAGATCGTAAACATGTGTTTTGAGCAGCAAATTACCCTGTGATAACCTACAATACAATACAATTTTTTCTGGTATAGCCCTAAATCTCAACAGTAGTCATCTAGAGGACTTAAGAAAACCATTGAACTCACCAATGGTGTGCTAACCTGCAAACCACAAAAAATTAACTCTACTAAAATCCGTCCAATCAGCTATTCGCCCAGTTGTCTTTTATCACTAGTTTTTACATGCATGTGTTGTTAGCTTCTGTTACATATTTAAAGTGACAGAAACGTTAAAAAGAGAGGACCACCCTCAATTAGCTCACAATCTATCAAAGATTTTCCAGTTAAACAGTTGTAATAAGAGATAAAACATGAGCTGCAACAGTGACTGTGTTACATCATTGCACACCCTCTGTCAACCCTTTTGAAAATGACCAGAGCTAAACCTTTGTGTGAAATGGCTCTGTAGAATCTGAAGATGGATTTGGAAGACGACACTGCGGTCCTGGCCACCCTGAAGTCCTTCAACTCCTTCCTCAGTCAATCAGAGCCTCAGCGAGCTGCGGGCCCGCCCACACTGCAGAACCAGTACAAGCGCAGCATGGAGGTAAGACCCTGCTAACACATACAAAACACAAAAGAAAATACAGTTCTTTATTTGAGCTCTTAAACAAGATCTGCAATTAAGAAACTACCAATTTTTTGGTCAAGAGCTGATAGTGATGTCCATTTATTGGCATTCTGCCTGAGAAACCCCTTCCGTCCTGTCTTGAATTTAGTTTTAAAGAAGCATGGATTATAATGTATTAAGAAAAAGAAGGTCCTTTATTTGTCCCACAGAGGGGAAATTTCAGTTTGATACACACATACACATCAAGGCATGCCCCATTAATGATATAATATTAATAATCTATGCTGCAGATTCTGATCTTTAAAAAGAGGTATAACATATTTAATATTGCCAAAGCTAAAGTTTTGACAAAGCCCATTTGTGGCAGTAACTTTTATTCTCTTTTTGAATAAACCAAACCATGGCTTGTGAGACTTCAATATTGGTTGTCCAATAAATTGGTCAGTTCCTAGTTGTGAATATTTGTGTGCATTTGAATATTTGTGTGTCAGCTGTATGATGTAGTTTCTACAGACATCCCTGGGTTTTAGATGATGATGATGATTTGTCCTCTGCAGTTGTTGGACGCTGAAGAAAGGCTCCAGTCGAACGGCCGCTTCCTGCAGTTGGACCAGGAGAAGAAGCAGATGGAACTTAGCCACAAGAAAGCCCGCCTGGAGCTGGAGAAGAGAGCCTCAGAGAGCGCACGAGAGCTGGAGGTTTGTCAGGAAAGAGCTGCCATATGTTACATACGCCTGTGGTCGCTGATTCTCCAATCTATTGCTATCTCTAGTTTTCACACGCATGTGTTTTTTACCTCTGTCACATCTTTAGTTCAGCTTTTTAGTTGGCTACGTACCTACTTTTTAAACAGAATGGTGTAAGGCTTGTTATTACTGCAATACATATTTTCCATTTGCAGAAATTTGAGCTTATTTGTCATGATTAGACAGATTTTTCTTATTTTAAATATTCACTCATTCATCATTGGTGTTTTTTGTCAGCCAATTCACAAAAAATAGGGGCGACAGTAGCTCAGTTGGTAGAGCATTGGCCTTAAGGCCAGAAGGTCGTGGGTTCATTTCCCACCTCTACACCTTCTCCACCGACTCCCACTGATGACTGCTGTCGTTGTGTCCTTGGGCAAGACACTTAACCCCACTTTGCCCAAAGCCCCCACTGAAAGATCAAGGCTATGCTCACACTCAGAGAGCGGCCGTCCTCCTGTGGACTCACCACCTGCAGAGGGTCAGTGAGGGGCTGGTGCTATGAGACTTGGGTGGCATCTCTGACTGCCACCCCCCTGACCCAGAAATGGATTAAAGGGTAGAAAATGGATGGATGGAATTCACAAAATATAATATTGTCATTTTGAAATGTGAAAGTGTGCCCCTATTTATTCCAGTCAAATCAAACACATTGAAATCCAAAATCACTGATTAAAAAAAATAAGTTGATGCTTAAATAAGGGGTCTTGAATGGATTCAGTTTGTACTACTGGTTTTACTATTTGTGTGGAGAAAATATCTTGGTGATTGTAGTTTAAAACAATATAAAACTAGTCTCGTTAATTATGAGAATACTGCTTTTGCACATACACATTTAGCTCCATATGCTAAATTGCAAAGAGACACAAGAAAAAGTACTTTCACCGGGTTTACAGTTGTCCCTCACGTGGTGTTGTCTGTGGCACAGTGCGAGCTGGACCGGAACCAGGGGCTGCACGAGCGCATCAAGAGGCTGGAGGAGAGCGAAGCTGAAGCCCTGAGGAACGTGAGAGATCAGCAGGACATTCACCGTTCTCTGACAAAGACCATAGACAACCTGAACAAGAGCCTGGACGAGAAGGAGGAGCGCATCAGCTCTGCCAATCAGGTACAAACAGCTATTTAGATTCAGGTTTAATGGAGAAGAGAATAAGTATACGTTATATGACACATAAACTACAAACTGAGAACATGCCTGGTTTGTTAATGTAAGTAAGTAAGTAAGTAAGTAATCATTTATATACCGCCTTTTCAGTGCAGATCTGAGTCTCAAAGCGGTTTACAATTGTTATTTTTTGGTCATTTGTCCTCTCACTCCACACAGAGATGGGAGCGGGGTCGCCAGTACAGGAGGCGCATGCCAGACCTATTGTACATATGTTTAGCGGTAGGGGAAACCGGAGTACCCGGAGGAAACCTACGCAGACACGGGGAGAACATGCAAACTCCACTCAGAAAGGCCCTGGTCTGACCGGGATTCGAACCCAGGACCTTCTTGCTGAGAGGCGAGAGTGCTATCTACTCAGCCACCGTGCCGACTCTTACTGTAACATATAACAGTAAGAGTCATTCAAATAACTTTTGCATATAGAACATGTTCAAGTTTACCAAAGAATCAGTGCACTCCTAATCACTAAATTCAATGAATTCTTGAAATGAATTGTAATAATTTCAAACATAAGTCACTTTAGATCCAGGACTCAGGCTGTAGAACAAGGACCAAGGCCATGCGGTGCAGGACTCAGGCTGCAGGACTCAGGCTGAGGACAGATGCCATGCAGGACTGAGGCAGCTCCCAGGTCGAGCTGGTGAGGACACTCCGCAGGTGCTGATGGAGGAGTCCGGGTTCAGGGGTCCCATCATCACTCCGTGAAACAGACAATGGGACAGCAATCGAATAGCTGTCCTATAGTCTACATAGATTTCAATTGAACTTTACTTCTTTGAGATCACTGTGGTATCTGTAATTGCGTCTCTCTGTGTCCATTGTACTTCCAGACCATCAGCTGTCTGCGAGACGACATCCGTGAGCTGAAACTGCAGCTTCAGAGCCAGGAATGCACCATCTCCACCCAGAGTCTGGAGAGAGAGGAGCTGCAGGACAAAGTGCAGCTACTGCAGAGGTGAGGAGCTGCAGGACAAAGAGTGTGAAGAGGGATCTCGCCAACAGAAGGAGAAATCTGAATGTTCATTTAAAACATTACAAGGAAATTAATAAGACTGATATCTTACATTTTGAACATTGCTCAGTGGCTTTTCCCCCATCCGCTTTGTCCTAGCAAGCATCTCCATTTGAGTCATCTGACAAAATCAAATTATGTCAATAACTCCTAAAAGGAACTGTAATCGATTCACTTTATAATGAGTTTACTAAAATGCGTATTACTACATACAAGTTGTATTAAAATCCATAATAAAATTGAAAACTTGAGCTCATTGATTCAGCTTGTGTATGAATTCAGGCTGTAAGAAGTGCTGGGTAGAAATTTTGTGTGACGCTAGTTCTCCTCTAATCACAGAACGAGGAGCAGCACTATTGCTTGCTTGCAATTGACGTCACGTCCGCCTCATTACATATGCGTATCACAAAGTGGTGGTCAGCCGAGCTAGTTGTTCACTAGAGCAGCGTGTCTGACTCTGCCTTTTGCATGTGTTGTTTTAAGTTTTCTAACTGATCAAGTCGCAATACCTTTAATGGATACTTTAGGATTCTTCGTGAAGAGATTAATAATGATCCTCGCACTAAGGACTTTACGAAAAGACGCAGGAAAAGTGGCTCGCTAACATTTCACTAGCAGACGCTTTTACCTCGAAGGATTATGTATTTACCCAGCCATGGAGTCACAACGCGCGCAGTTATTACATCCCCATCTTTATTTCATTTATTGTCAGGTATGAGTTGGCGTTTTAAATAAACACAGTGAATGTTTGACCTGAAAAAACACAGCCAAAGACTCATTGTTTTGTTGAGAATGACAAGTTCATTCACCGATCGTTACTTACACGGCTCTTTACGATGCAGGATGTGTCCTTCAGGACCTTAACTCTGAGTTCTTAAACCCACAGACAGACTGAAAAGTTGCAGCATCCATGTTTATCCAAACCTTCATTTGTTTAGCAGTGCAAAAGCTTGATGGTAAAACTAGCTGTGGATTAGAATCTAAAGTAAAGAAAATGACAGTCTAGGATCTTGTCTTAAATTCAGACAGAAGACATGTTTTATTGTCGATGGTAGAGGCAGCATAAACAAAGACGTTACAGAATGTAAGTGACATACAGCGGAGGAACGGAAACTTATTCGCATATTAGCAAATATTAGCATCTGCCAGCAGCTTCAACCTGGATATTACCAAAACATGTAGTGGCAAAATTCTGCCTTGTGCATATTGTTAGAATGATAAGTTAGAACGTTCACCACAGTAACTTCAAAGTGTCATGAAATATCCAAAAAAGCAAAGAAATACTCTGAAGAGTCGCATTTTCTTCGCATATCAGCAGCAACTTTAGCTGGCCTGACCATCACTTCGTCAACCAGAAGTTTTTGCGTCACGTGACTGCAAGCCAAGAATTACAAACAGGCCACGCCTCCTCTAGCATCTACAGCGCTGGTAAACACAACAGCATGTTAGCAGAAAGTGGCTATACCTCCTCTGGGTGTAACTGCAGACACAGCAAAACAGCCCAAACGACGCAACAATGAGGAAGAGAAAAGGGAACTAAGGTGAAACAATGATCAAAGAAGAAATCAAGCCTGGGTGAACATAGCCAGCTTACATCGTATCCTCTGGAGAGACCTGCGGGAGTGAGACCGCTTCAGACTAACGGGAAACAAGCAGTAATCTTTCAGTTACATATTTTGTTAGCAGTGTGATGCTTTTGTACCATTTCATGGTTGTGATTGTTGTACAGCTTTCAAGAAGTTGCGCTAATGCTAGTGTTTGTATACGTATCTCTGTGGGAAGGGATAGATGGAGTGTTTCTCAAAATGAGAAGACTGTAAACTCAATTTGGGAATGGCCAGAATATTGATGATGTCACAGTAAAGAGTTATGGATGATTTTTGCCTCGAGATAAAAACAAGCATCATGGAAAGTTTTGTAATTGTGTTCCTATTTGACTGTTAGGAAGCACCAGGAGCTCTCCCAGCTGTGCCAGAGCCTGCAGGCGGCTCAGTCCACCTGTTCCGAGCACGTCCTCAAGATCAAGGTGACTTTTGTTGGTGTTTTTGTGAAGTCAACATTCTCAAGATCACATTGAAGGGCCAAACTTGACACACACACAAGGCGTCATAATTGTTCTCTTTTGGCTAGACATGTGACCCAGCATGTGTCATGTGAATCAATCAACACTACCACATGCAAAACCGGCCCACTCAGAGTTCAGTTTGTTCAAGTTGAGGATTTAAATTTCCCCCCCCGGGTAAAGGCGTATAATTGCCATTAATCACAGTGTCACCCATCCAACTCTCTCCTAACACAGGCTCAAGAAAACCAGCCTCAAGAAACCACCACCAGTGGCAAAAACGAGTCCTCATCATCCCCCAGCTCCTGCTAAGTCAAGGAACCACCCTGTTCTCTTTGCACATGTATCTTGAGGGTGCCTCAGAGCGAACACACTCACGGCCACAGAGCATCTTGAAATATTAATTGAGTCTTCCTACCACAGCATTTCAGCCCATTAGTTTTTACGCACACATGCACACTCTGCTCCACCAACCTCTATTGGGGTAATTTTAGCTTACAAAAATTGTACTGGGCAAAACTAATGAAGAATCCAGTGAGAACTGCCTTTGCCTACAATGAGGACTGGCCTTTGACAATAATAATAAAAACTAATGTGTTGTGTGTATTCCAGGAGCTGGAACGACGTCTCGTCCTGCAGGAGCAGGACATGTCCATTGTGAAAACAGTGAAGGGTGAAGCGGCCAAGGTCCCTGAGCTGGAGAAGGAGCTGAAGAGGCTGCGAGAGGACAATGCCTTCCTCAGGTGACTGCACACGCACATGGGCATCTGGTGACTGTTAATGCGGTAAAATTTACAGTCAATACTGGACCAATGACATAATTCAGGCATTCTTTATTACTTGGTTGCCTTTCCAAGGAGACATGTCTGAAGAGAACAGAGCACAGTTCAGCTCAGCCTCGCGTCCAGAGCCTGTCTGACCTTAAGCCTAGTGTATACTTGCGCGGCGTGGCTTACGTTAGCGGTTGCGGTGGACCTACGTAAGCACAATTGATGTTATACTGGCGCGTTCCGCTTACGGAGTTTTGAGGAGAATGTTGTAATCCCACAACAAACCACATGAGGGCGATCACACAGGAGCGGTCCCATTTACGCTGCTACTTTGTCCTCTTCAGAACAACATTAGCAAACAAAGCTGTTTGAGCTCATTACACGTGTTTCTACTGTAGGTTTATGTGATAGTTTTATGGATTCATTATTTTATAAGTCATTTCAACTGTGATGCTGTGAATAAAGACACAGTTCTTGTTGGAAACATAGTTATTATTAAATAGTTTTCAGCACAAACAGCAAAACAATAATAGTGATAAATATCCGAGACAAACATGAACGATTTACGAGTGCAGGAGGAAAGCGACAAACGCAGCCACGATTCAAACAAGACAGGAACAGTGCAAAACAAACGACTGCACAGTTTATAAGTTATATATATGTTAGATAGTCCACAGTCTCCTGTATATCAGGCTCTGAGCCCAAACTGCTTTTCCTTCGAAGCACAAAGCTCTCTGCTCCATAGTGCCTCGTCCATGTCCCTGCTGCAGCCGCTTCATGCTTCCTTCCAATACACACACACACGGACCAATCACAGCGGAGCTTCCTTGCGGCTACCCTTACGTAGTTAGAAAATTTTGATGCTGCGCGGCAGGCAACGTAAGGGCCTTGCGGTGACCAACGCGTTGCGCAAGTGACGTCACGTCACCTCCGTGCCGCGCGAGTATACTCTACGCTTCTGTCAGGCTGCAAAGCAGTATAGCAGGAGATAAGACACATCTCCACTTCCACACAGTCACTGCTTCACAATGAGACCTTTGGTATTTAGCATATCAATCAAAGAAACAGTGGCAGTCTGACCAGGCCTGGTCCCATCTGCATACAACCCCCGTTGCCCAGAAGACTGGCTGGAGCTAACGGAGAATACAATATATTTTAGACACATATTACTACATTAAAATAATAACTTCAGAACATTCCAATGACAGTGACCACACACTCACTTGGTTCTCTTCTGGTGACCACTGACTCACGCATCGCCTGAGTCAGTGGTCTTTCTTGCACAGTCTTATGTCCCTGGTCGCGGGAGCCACTCTAAAGGCGCGTTCAGACCAAAAGCTTCAAAAAGCTTTTGACACGCGTCAACTAACACTGGGTCCGGTGTGAACGCCTTGGTGCTTTAAGCTCCTGATGCTAGTGACGCGCCTGACGCCGGTGGGAGGAGCTTCTCTGTTGCCGGTAGACCAGCCACAACGGTGGATTTTCCAGAGAGCAGCGAGCCTTTATTTGTTATATTAAGCCAAACAACCTTTTTGTGGGGTTTCTACAAAACATGTTCTGGGTTCACCACAGACTTGAGAGGCTGCAGTGTTTGCTGAGTTTCACCGTTTACTCCAGGAGCTGCGTACGGAGGAGTTTCGCTTTTAGCGGTACTTCCCCATGTCACTCGCCCAATTTGAGTACCCGCAACCCGGAGCTCCCCTCTGCCGGCCAAGAGCTCGCCTCTCTCTCCCCTCCCCTCGCCTCTCTCTTGCCTGGAGCTCCCCTCTCCTCGCCTCTCCTTTCCTCTCTCTCGCCTCTTTCTCGCCTCTCCTCGCCTCTCGCTCGCCTCTCCCCGCCTGGAGCTGCCTCGCTCCCGCTCTGAGTCAGACTCATCGTCAGCTTCTTCTTATATGAAATAAATTACTTGTACTTCACAGGTTGTAAACAATGATTTTGTTATGTATTAAGAACATTACTATCATACAAATAATATTACTAATAAGAATACTGACAATAAAACAGCAGCAGCTACATGACTTCTCTCCATGACAGAGACAGACCCTCTGCTGCTGCTGCTCCTCGTCTCCTGATTGGTTGAAGCCCGCGTCAAAGCTTCAAAAGCTCAGCTTTGTCAAAACATCCCTTGACGCCGCGTCAAAAACTTCAAGTGAGCGCGTATTACTCGCGCCTTTTGAAGCTTTTGAGGCGCGCCAAGTGACGCCGGGCTTCTCGCCATCACTTTACGCGCTTCACCATTCACTTTCAATGCAAACCTGACGCTTTTGAAGTCGAAGTTAAGTCCGGTGTGAACGCGTCTTAAGGGGAAGTAGCACGTTCCCCAGAGTTGAAAAAAAATTAGTTCAGCTTTTAGCGGCACAGTATTTATCAGGAATCCAAAATGTCGAATCCACTCAGTGTACTAATAAAAAAAAAAAAGCATATTAGTGCTAACAAGTATTTAATCTGTGTCTAAAGCAGACTTGGAGATTCTTATCCACGCATTTGTCTCCAGTCGGTTAGACTACTGCAATGGCCTGCTCACAGGTCTCTCTAAACAGCAGCTCGAGTCCTGACTAGAACCAGGAAGTACAACCACATTAGTCCAGTCCTCAGGTCTCTGCACTGGCTTCCTGTTCCTTAGAGAATAGACTTTAAAGCAGCTTTACTTGTGTACAAGTAAAGCTGAGGAGCACAGGGACTGGACTTCTGTTAGTGCCAAGAGTCGGAACTAGACATGGGGAGGCTGCGTTTCAGATTCATGCAGCTAGAGTCTGGAACAATCTTCCCGAGTATGTGAGACAAGTGTCTACTCTGGCAGTCTACTAAACTGGACTGAAAACAGTTCTTTTTAGCTGTGCATACAAGTGAATGATTTTACATTTGTTTTTATCTTTAATCTTTTTAATGCACTACGACTATTTATACGTCCCAGACACCACGCAGATAATTGTGGTGTGGAAGCCTGGAGCATGCATAACGAGTTGTTTTGCATGCATAATACAAAAATGTGCGCCTTGTCCGTTTTGTCGTATGTGTCATATGTGGAGTTGTAACCGTGTAACTGTGGTGTTGGTCCAGGGAGAGCCGGGAGAATTGCAGCCTGCTGAAAGAGGAGGCCGAGGGGTTGAGGAGGAAGCTGGAGAGGGCAGAGAAGGCCAAAGAGGAGCTGCTGACCCTGGAACTGGACAAAGAGGTGGGCCCCGCAATAGCGCACATGCAATACACACACTAAACGCACAACACACACAGAAGAGCAATTCATGTGTTACTTGCTCATACATCTATTCTTTTTCTATATTCTGTCCATATCACTGGCACTGGCACAATTAACAACACTTCTCCTGTCAATGGGTTGTTATTATTGTCATTTCAGAAGTTGTCTGTGAAGCTCCAGGCCTGGGAGAACCTGGGACAATCCACTGGACTCAGCTTCAAGTGAGAAGTCCATCTCTAATACAATTGTGTTGTGCTTATTATGAGGCCATGTCCACACTGAGTAACTGATTGGGGCGCTGGGAGGCAAAGTCTGAAAACAGAAAATCAGATAACCACAACCCTAGCCTGGTCATACCACGCTTTTTGTACTAATGTCTGGATTTGCTCCATTGAGCTCCGTTAACAGGTGGGAGGGGTTAACTGCTTTTGGAGATTGAAATGATTGCATCTGATTTTGGGTATGTAATGTGCCCGAGTGAGTTGTTAGCATTTAGCCTAGCCATCTTTGCTGCCTACGGAGCGCCACAATCTTTGCCAGCAATTAGATTTGCTAAATCTTGCTCTGCCTTAAATTTTTTAATAGAACCCAAAAGTTAATTGGCCTCCAGGCATTTTTGTGTGGAGTTTGCATGCTCTCCTTTTCTATGCACTTGTTCCCCCTTTCGCTAAAATAATGTAAAATTGGTAAACATGTAATTGAGTAAGTGAATGTATGGAGTTGGTTGGGGGCTTTGATGCACCAGTGGATTCGGTGCTTTCTTTATTATGAATGGAAAAATTATCTACTCCAAAAGCATTGTAAAGCGCTTTGTGTGACCTTGGTCTGTGAAATGCACTATATAAATAAAGATCACTCACTTACATACTTATTTCAGGTCAGTACAGCACACAAAATGGCGACGGAGTGCAGCAGTGATGTCCCTTTGTGGAAAAATTGGCCACTTTTATGTAAATGCTAATTACTAACCAACTTATATCAACATATTACATGAAAAATATTATGCTAGGAGGAGTAACATCAGGTTTCTCCTGCAGGTAGTGGGTCCACAGGAAGATGGCTTCTATGTATATACAGTGGGGCAAAAAAGTATTTAGTCAGCCACCGATTGTGCATTCTCCCACTTAAAATAATGACAGAGGTCTGTAATTTTCATCATAGGTACACTTCAACTGTGAGAGACAGAATGTGAAAAAAAAATCCAGGAATTCACGTTGTAGGATTTTTAAAGAATTTATTTGTAAATTATGGTGGAAAATAAGTATTTGGTCACTTCAAACAAGGAAGATCTCTGGCTCTCACAGACCTGTAACTTCTTCTTTAAGAAGCTCTTCTGTCCTCCACTCGTTACCTGTATTAATGGCACCTGTTTGAACTCGTTATCTGTATAAAAGACACCTGTCCACAGCCTCAAACAGTCAGACTCCAAACTCCACTATGGCCAAGACCAAAGAGCTGTCGAAGGACACCAGGAAAATAATTGTAGACCTGCACCAGACTGGGAAGAGTGAATCTACAATAGGCAAGCAGCTTGGTGTGAACAAATCAACTGTGGGAGCCATTATCAGAAAATGGAAGACATACAAGACCACTGATAATCTCCCTTGATCTGGGGCTCCACGCAAGATCTCATCCCGTGGGGTCAAAATGATCATGAGAACGGTGATCAAAAATCCCAGAACCACACGGGGGGACCTGGAGAATGACCTGCAGAGAGCTGGGACCAAAGTAACAAAGGTTACCATCAGTAATACACTACGATGACAGGGAATCAAATCCAGCAGTGCCAGACGTGTCCCCCTGCTGAAGCCAGTGCATGTCCAGGCCCGTCTGAAGTTTGCCAGAGAGCACATGGATGATACAGCAGAGGATTGGGAGAATGTCATGTGGTCAGAAGTAGAACTGTTTGGTATAAACTCAACTCGTGTTTGGAGGAAGTTCCATCCCAAGAACACCATACCTACTGTGAAGCTTGGGGGTGGAAACGTCATGCTTTGGGGCTGTTTTTCTGCTAAGGGGACAGGACGACTGATCCGTGTTAAGGAAAGAATGAATGGGGCCATGTACCGTGAGATTTTGAGCCAAAACCTTTTTCCATTAATGAGAGCTTTAAAGATGAAACGTGGCTGGGTCTTCCAGCATGACAATGATCCCAAACACACCGCCCGGGCAACGAAGGAGTGGCTCTGTAAGAAGCATTTGAAAGTCCTGGAGTGGCCTAGCCAGTCCCCAGACCTCAACCCCATTGAAAATCTGTGGAGGGAGTTGAAAGTTATTGACCAAATTCTTATTTTCCACCATCATTTACAAAGAATTTTTTTAAAAATCCTACAATGTGAATTCCTGGATGTTTTTTTCACATTCTGTCTCTCACAGTTGAAGTGTACCTTTGATGAAAATTACAGACCTCTGTCATTATTTTAAGTGGGAGAACAATCGGTGGCTGAATAAATACTTTTTTGTCCCACTGTATGTTTATATACATAAACTTATTGACATAAAATACTTGAAATTTTTCACATTGTCCATTCTTTCATAAAATATATTGCCCTACAATATTATAATCTGTATAACTGTATATGATCAAAATGTAACATGCATACGTCTGTCAGCCAGCAGAGGGCGCTGTTATACACTGAGTGAGTCAATCAGCCTCTTGTTCTTTGCCACTGTCTTAATAGAAAAGCATATGCTTATAAAGCTGTCTAATAATCCAGGTCATATCAACACTTGTCACGCTGATAAGAGCTTAACTCTTGTTCTTTGATTTGGTGGTTTTGTTTTTCATTTGGATTAATTCTGGTTTTCAACTGCAGCAGAAGAAAGTAACATTTAACAAGCATCCAGAGCCATCTGTTGTTTTTGAAGCAGCCAGATGAGCGCCATCAGTTAGATTTGAATGTTCCCAGGCTGCTCAAATGTTGCTTATAGCTGCCATTACAGTTAAGGAATGAGGGATGTGCGCTGTGATTCCAGACTGGCAGAAACCCTTATTTATTCAAGCCCATGCTTACACTTCTGTCTTTGTTTCCGTGGCAATATCTTTATCATTGTTTTGAGCTCTTCACATAGTTAGATCGTCCAAAACAAAATTATAATGTTTTCTAATGGGGCAATTTTTGTTGAGGGGCTTGTCCCAGCTCAATCCCCTCATTGTGTTCAACTGATCATATTTGAATTTGAATCGACAGAGAACCAGAAGTCAATATATGCCTGTTTGGATTGAAAGATAATTTACTGCTGCAGGGGTTGTCCACCCTGAGGCACTTTTGGGTGTGAAACAAGTGCTTTATGGATGTGACAGGGGACAAACCATCCCATAGTGAGCAACAAGTATTTTCTTTTAACAAAAATAGCCCATAAGTTTGTGTAAGCTCTGTCGTACAGGGACAGGATATCTTCCATACACTTCCTCCTCCACTGCTGGCTGTGTGATCTTTAGTATAATTCAAAGTCCTTAGTTGGTCACTGGGATGGGGCGACAGTGGCTCAGTTGGTAGAGCATTGGCCTTTGAGCCTGAAGGTCGTGGGTTCGAGCCCACCATAAGACCTCCTTCACGACTCCCACTGATGACTTCTGTCGTTGTGTCCTTGGGCAAGACACTTAACCCCACTTTGCCTGAAGCTCCTACTAAAAGATCTCAGCTCCTGTGGACTCACCACCTGCAGGAGGATCAGTGAGGGGCTGGTGCTATGTGTACTGGGTGCAGCTCTGACTGCACCCAGTACCCCCCCCCCCCGACCCAGAAATGGATTAAGGGGAAGAAAATGGATGGATGGATAGTTGATAGTGTGTGGTCACTACCAGCCCTTTTTGTTGAGGTCATCCTTAAGGAACAATAAGGTCTAGGAAGAAGCTATTGACCATTTACTGAGAGACCCCTGTGTTTGTTCTGACAATGCTCTTTTGTGCCCCCTGCAGGAGCCCTGAAGACCTGTTCAGAGAGGTGATGCAAATCCAGCAGAGAGAGGTTGCACTCAAAGAACAGAACTACACCCTGAACAGCCGGTAATTGCTTTGCTTCTTCTCCACACGGTTTAAATTGGTAGTTAAAGGTACCATATTTCGCTTCTCTTCATTTATCATCGTCCATCCTATGCATATGTGTGAGAATGATTTGGGTGATACACCATACAACACTCAAGTGTTCAAACAAACACATGACTTGGGCTGTACTGCTACAATACAAGTCATGACTATCTGTGGCATATTCAGATGCACTGTATTTCCAGCGATGTTTTCGCTTTTGCATCCAAACAAAGAAACATGGTGCTGAAGGGACTGTATATTTCACAAGAATAATAAAGAATATTGAGAATCCTACCACTACTGATAGTAGTAAATAAAAGTCAGTTTTTAAACATGGACATTAGTAGGTGGACTAATCAACAACAACAACTTATTCTTGAATATCCATCCTGAATGTTCCCCCTCTCCTTCTGTGGTCGCACAGTGTTCGGGGCATGGAGCGGAGCCAGTCGGAGCTGAAATGTGAGGCGTCTCAACATAGGGCCAGCAGTGTGGAGGAGCAAAGAAGGAGGGAGGCCCAGGACTCACTGGTGCGCAGGCTGCAGAGAAGGGTGCTGCTGCTCACTAAGGTTAGTGCTGGATCAGATTTTTGGTAATTTTGGACCTGAAAAATACTAAAGTAAATGATGTTTAAGAGGATATTTAAGAATGTGATATTTTTTAATTGGTAGAGGCTATTTGAATAAACATGATAAATGGACTATGAAAATGATCACAAGTGAACACTAAATCCTCCATGTACTTTAATCCATCTACTTTAAATAATAAAGACTCATGTAAACCTGTGCGTGTTGTGCACGCCAATTCTGGTGCGGTTGAGCTGCAGTTATATTTGTCAATTTAATTGGAATGAGGCATTGATGCGTTTAACCCTTGTGCTATACTCTGGTGAAATTGACCTGCAACAGTTATTAAAACCTACCGTAAATATATATTTTTTTCAAGCTTAATTTGGGGTATTTTACTTCAACTTTGCCAAAGTCCTTCTTTGCACATGTTTTATGTTATGCAAATAAAAAATTTAACTTAACTAGAATTAGAAAACTTTTAAGGGAACTGCGGAAATACAATGATTGCAGCAGTGAAGCAGGTGTGAAAATGTAAACCTATAATTGTAATCTACTGTTACAAAGTTTGACTATCAATGGAAAAATACAAAATGCCTTTGAAAGTGTCCCATGGGCTGGAGCCTTGAGAGGCTTCTCTGTCGAAACAAAACTCTGCAGACCCAATCACCAGATCGTGTGGTTTTTGAACATAGTTTGTATTCTTATGAATTAAACATTAAACATACCAAAGGTAAAATTCTTCAGTGAAGGACGTTGACATCTGGGGATGGGTATCCAGTCAGACAGTAAAAGGCAGAAAACTGTTCTGCTCATGACATCATGTGTGAAGATTTATTATGGCGTGAAGTGTTAGAAACAAAGGACACTTAGAAAGAAAGGGTTTGTGCCAATTTGTAGAAAAAGTTCCTGCTATTAGCCTGGATGGAGCAAAGGATAACTCCGCTTCCATCAGCCTCTGCTCTCCCCTCCACTCCCATCAGCCTCCCTTCTCCCCTTCGCTCCTCTCCAAAGCTCTGGTGCTATTGATTTGTTGGCCTTTAATTCCCTGGGTCAACATGCTGCCACACTGAACACACAAATCGGACCGGGCGTCCTCTGGTGAGTGGGCAGAGGCGTGGAGCAAAGCCTGCCGGAGCCACGCACTTTATCACCTGCAACGTAAGAAGAGGGTTAGAGCCCGCACTGGAGCTGCACACACCTGGCCAATATGTCGGCAGCTGTGCTTTCACTTCACGTCATGAGAAGTATAAAGTGTAATAAGATTTATTCAAGTTTGTGAACATTCCAAAACTGAAACATATCTTACATTGCAAGTATTCACACCTGTTACAAAACATGCAAAACACCGGTTTCCACTGATTGTTTTTGAGATTTTTGTTCAACTTGACTGGAGCCCTGCTGGTCAATTCTACTGGTTTAACTTGATTTGGAAAGGGACATATATCGATTTAAGGTCCCACAGCTGGCAGTGATTTTTATAACAGAAGTCAAGCTATGAGTTCTAGGAAACTGAGGTCTAAGGAACTGAATTTAGACCTTCAGACAGGTCGATGGCACAGTGGCCTTCTTCATTTGGAAAGAAAAAGTTCAAAATCACCAGGAACTTCCCCAGAGCTGGCCACACGTCCAAACTGAGGGCCTAGGTCATCGGGGTGACCAAACACCCCGGTCTGGATAATTCTGAGGGGAGACAACCACCAGTGCAGCACTTCACCAATTCGTCCTTTTTAGAAGAGCGGGCAAACCAAGACTCTCCTGCTCGGAGGCATGTAACGACTCTCAGAACAAACAAGATGCTATGATTCATGCAATGCTATGATTCATGCAATGCTCTATGCTAAGAAGAGATTAACTTTATGGGGAGATATGACTGGCCTACAGTGCTACATTGGCTGCACAAATGTGACGGTACATTACATTTATAAACACAAACATGATCTCATTGCAACCTCTTTATTCACTGCATCAGAATCCAATGAAAGTCAACTGAAAGTCATGTCCCTGCGGTGTAATGGTTTGAATGAGTGAAGGCTCTATGAAAGACTATATAATTTATAAGAAAAATATGAAATGCCCACATCCATATTTAGGGGATTTAATATATTAAGTGTTAAAATGTGAAATATTGTAGACAACGTTTGGATGAACATGAAAAGTGGTGTGAGAGGTGTGGAGAATTAGCATAGCTCCTATCTAGTGGTTGAAGGATAATTCTGCTTCTATGAGGCATCTTAAGTGTCCTCCACAGTGTCCTAGATCTCAATGTTGAGTTGAGATCCAGGTCACTCAACTCAACATTTATGGACATTGGTCATCTGCTCCTTATGGAGAAATGGCTCTATGTGTGTTTATCGTTGCATTTCTTGTAGGCATGCACCGATGCATAGGCTGAACATATGCCTTGTTAACTACATTCGCCAATGGTAGGCACGTGCAAAGTGAAGGGCGTCCGCGCTCTTTCCTCAGTTTGCAATACGTGCTCCAGTGAGAATTCAACATCTGTATTGGTGAATTCAAGTCCTCTGAGATAACTACTGTTGTGATTTAGGGCTATGCAAGAATACATTGAAGTGAATTGATTTAAAACACTGGTCACAAGTGGGTCGAGTTGCATAATAAAACTTCTTTAGGTGCACACTGGACTCTTCCATCTTGTTGTAACATCACCCTATAAAAATAACAAAAGCAAACTGACCTTTTGAGGGGCTGGAGGTGTCCCAAAAGTGTAGGGGTGAGTTGGATGGCTGGATTCTGCTCTGCTCTCACTGTTTACTCTGCAGAGGACATACTCTCTAGGCCATTACAACCAGGGTCCATTTTACACTTGATCAAACCGTCAGCGTTAAGCATTTGAAATAGAATAAATGATAAAAGTGTAGCGCTGATGGATTTATCTCGGTGTGCTCCGCTGCTGTTTAAAATTAGACCCCTTTTTATCAGTAAAAGGCAGGCAGATTTTTGTTTTAGATAAAGTGATTTTCATTGCGCAGTAATGGGCAGAGAGTAGCTCGCAGGCATGTCATTTAGCGCTTGCCCACACCTCCTCTGCACTGACCTCCAAACACATTCCAACAGTTGATGCCAAAAACAACATTTCCTACAAATGTGCTGTGAGAATTTTAATATATCTTACACACCCAGTATATACATTTAACGCACATGACTCTTAACTTATTTTTACTTTTGAATGCGCGGGAAAACGATTGCAAGTCCTAAGTAGCTCTGAAACCATTGTTTTGTGTCTTACAATTGTTATTTTTCTTGCACAGCAAGAAAAATAATAAATGTTCATGGATTTGCACTGGTCCAGATCAGAGCAGAGATGATTCATGGTCCAAACCAAGCAGATCAGGTGAAAATCCACTGGAGGAATGCTAACTTTTTGAAAAATGCTAATGAAAGCATTTAGCAGTTTACATTGGACTAGAGCAGAAAAAATGGTCCGAAACCAAGGAGCGATACCACCTCGGCTACTGTGACCTGAAGGGCTGTTACTGATTTAATACTATTATTAGCTTTTTAGAATTACACATTTTATATTTTTGCTGCTACTGGACACCTGAATTTCTCCTGCAGGGATCAATAAAGTAACTATCTATAAACCTTCCTGTTTGTCTTCAGGGCTGGTACTTTCCAGTAAAGTTAGGAACCTTTTTGTGAAATCTGTTTGCACAGCACTGAATTTCTTCCAAAATGTTTTATCCATTGTATCAACAGCTGCACAATAGTGAAATCCTGCCCAGTTGCAAAACGTAAATCCTGATCCTGACCAAGCGCATCAACATTTGGAGATGGGTCACAGTGTCATTGCTGGAAGTAGTGTAGTAGTTTATCTACTATGACTTTATCCTTTTTTACAAGATTTTTTTTTTCTTTTGTTTAAAAATGTAGTCCTACATGTTGCTTGTCCAAAAGGGGTTTAGGCTGAAATCAAGACTTATACTGCCTAACCCCTTTCACAACTGTGATACACACTCTCTTTGACATACCTTCTCTTAGTAGTACTCTTTGCCCTTAGTTTGAAAAATCTCTTGTAAACAGTGAGTGGGTTTCATTAGGGGTTGTTTTCCATTGCCACGAAAAGATGTCTGAGGTGGCCCAGTTTTCACAGTCAGAGCGCGGCTAGTTTTTCATGACATCTCTCTTCTCTACCCAAGCATGGCATCATCACCCCCCACAAATAGGAGCACCAAACAAGTATGTTTTTGAAGAAGAAGGAAGGAAGGAAGGAAGGAGGACTGAGGTGGATGGGGACTAATGCGGCATGACACACGATGTGAGCCGTGCACCACAAACAGCGTATTAGGCCGGTTCCTCTATAGAAGCTGTGGAATGACCCGTCTGAGCTCCTAACCACATTATGGATGCTTACCTGGATAATCACACGGTCCAATTGGATTAGCGTATGGTGATGTGTTTTCACATAGTGAGATGGCTCCCTTAAGCTGTATGGAATAACCACATTAGTTTAGCACAACATGGGTTGTATATGCTTGGTCCTTGTCATATTTGGTCATTTAAGAAATGTTTGGTCTGACAAAAAAAGTGTAGCACGAAGTCAGTATATTTTTCAACCTCATGAGGTTGACAAAACATATTTGAGTAATGCTGTAATTTCTGCATTCAAACGTGAAGCTCATTCATCTTGTCCTTAATTTTATGTGTTCAACTACATAGCTTCTACATACTGTGTTTGCGTGTGTGTGCGCGCGCGTCATACCGTCAAGTAATCAAACTATTAAGTAACTATATAGTTACTTAATAGTTTAAGTAACTATTTCACATTTGAAAACATGTGTTTTGAAAACAATCTTGTAGGTGGTGTTTAATATGGAAAATGATAAAGCTGATTTAGCTGATTTTTTTCACTGTGTTTCAGGAGCGTGATGGGATGCGTGGGATCCTGGAGTCATACGATGGCGAGTTGGCCTCCACAGAATACGCTCCTCAGCTTAGCAAAAGAGTGAAGGAGGCGGAGGACCTGCTGCACAAGAGCCAGGCCTACAGCTCAGACATGGAGGTAAGGTCCAGGCCATTATATTTGTTCAAAGAGCATTTTCCCATGTGTCCGGCATTGATGATTGTGCCCAGGTCCAGCTGAGCAAAGTCCAAGAGGAGTGTGGAGCTCTCCGCCAGCAGCTGCACGCAGTGAGTATGCTTCCATTAGCCCCGTCCACGCTGACGTTCCATACACACTGCTCTGCGGGCCTCTCTGCATGTATATTATTGCAATAGATATTTTATAGAGAGAAAATAAATCACGCATGTGCCGGTATTACGTGCCAGAGAGTGCATGGCCGCCAGAAGATCAGCTGAACTCGCCTATAATTGGGCATCATCTGGTCCTCCCGGTTCTGTGCAGTGGACGAACTCCCATGATGCATTTCGCCAAATACGCGTGTGTGTCTCTTATGCACGTGCACAGAGGGGCTCAGCCTGCACTCTGACCAATCAACGCTGCCGATCAGAGCGGAGCAAGAGCAAGAGTTAGAGCGGGTGCCAAACGAGCAGAGTTTGTGGCACAAAAAATCCCCAAAAAATATAATTTACATTGAGTTCTATGGGGATAATTTCGGGGTAGCCCACGTGAATTTAGTCCTGTTTAGTCTGCAGTACTGTAAGAATCCCCCGCGCACTTGTGATATGGTTCTTTGGTCCATATCATCTGCATGGTTGAGCTCTGCAAACTTGATTTAAACACCCAATAGAATTTTAAAATCTATATGCAGGAGAATCACAAGCTAAGTATAATGAATTGCATACCTATTTTCCACCCAAAAATATGATACTTATTTTTGAAATATTTGACATGATCTAAATTCTCCTCAAAGCAAGCAAAGGAAGTTTCCACTGACGTGTATGACCTCCAGTGTTCTTTGTTTTGTCTGGTTACGGGGCAGACATCAGCCCCTCTCCGCTAACCGGGACTGACGCGTGAAATCCACCTGTCTTCCGGCGTGCTAATTACTGCTTCAGAATGCGGACGAGCCTCGAGAAAAGGAAATGTAAGCAGAAACGTCCATGCTGACGGAAATCACCCTAATTGCTGAGATTATCGCACACAGGGAGTTTCAAGTGGAGATACGTCTGAAGCTACAACTGCCAATATGAATATAGGATACCCCCTCACAAAACATTTTCTCTCATAAAAAACGGACATGCCTTTGAAAAAGACAGATGCTACAGACAATCTTGTAACATAATACAAATCCCAGTAGCAGATAGAGGTGGGGGAATTTTGTATTCTTATATTAATAGCAAACATTGGCAAATATCCAAATTCATATTATTTACGGACCGAAAGCATCCACAACACACTCACTTGCCGTGAGCTCCTAAACATTTAAAAGCAGACTGATTGTACAGAATAAGTAGTTCATTTAAGCCTGAGAGCCCTTTGCATTATTTGTGACGAACAAGAAACGCTAAAGCAGAAAAAAAACCTTGAGCTGTACACTAAAGTTCAGATGTTTCTGCTTTTTCATTCCAATGGATATTTTCAGAAAGGTAATTGAAGATAATGGAAATAAATGTAACTCTCGTAATTGAATCATGAGGTACCCACTCTTTGCAGCAGAAATATTTGTTGCCTTTTTGACAGTGTGCCAATGACATCTCAGCATTGCAGTTTGTTTTTCAGTATATATCTATTGTGAAATAATGTCTGTATGCATGATGTTAATCAGTAGAAAGGACAAAAATGTGGTGGCTTTGTTAATCAAATCAATATAAAATAAATATCTGGGGGAAAAAATGGATATTTCTTTGAAATACTGAAAAATAACTCTACAACATGAATGTAGCCCATTACACTGTGCCATGTTAGATAACCATTAGGTAGGACTGTTGCTCATCTCTTTCGCTGTAATTTAATTTTATATATATCTTATACCTAAAGCTGGGGTAACTGTTCCCAAAACCGTTTTCACATGCATTTTTGACATCTGTCTCATCTTGACCAGCTTTTTCAGACAGAAAAGTGAAAAAGAAGAGTAGCTTCATCATTCGGCTCAAATAGCCAAATAAGTAACATGTATGCACAAGATGAAGACGGCATGTTGACAAAACACTTTCTGAGACAAACATGTGTTATTTACAAACAACATTTATGTACCGCAGATTTTTGTGAAGTATATCACATTCTAAAACAGCCTTTGCCATATTGAGGATCTTTAAAAAACACAAATGCATCATTTTGGCACGCCTCGATGAGTTTGGGTAACGCTACAAAATGAAGCTTTATCAGCATTGCTCATGCTACGTGAGGTCAGGGCAGTTCTGCAGTCAATGTTTGTGCCAGCCAGGTTGGTGGCCGCTCCTTTACTACAGAAACTGCAGTTTGTGCTAACTCTTTCATTTGTCATCAGTACGAACAGCCTCACTGCCTTCAGTGAATAATGCTGCTATCCTGTGGCCTTTCCAGCAGGATGCAGTCCACACACACTTCTAATTTTTCTTCTCACACTCACAGGCGCACCTACAGTGGGACTGCATTTACGTGGGATAACTGGCTCAGTAAACCAATCAGGGAATGCCTCACATCAGGTCCCTGTTTTTCTCTGGACCAATGTTCCCCACCTTCTTTGGTACAAGACCGGGCCTAGGGCATTGGTCTGCCTGTCGATTGGGTCTTGCAAATACGTCATTTAAACTGTGTGCCGATTATTTTCATGATTAGGACAATTGAGGATTCACACTGAAGGCATCAAAACTATGAATTAACTCATGTATAATTATGCACCCTAAAACAAAAAGTATGAAAACACTTAAATTATGTCTTATATTCTAGGTTCTTCCAAGTAGACACCTTTTGCTCTGATTACTGCTTCGCACACTCTTGGCATTCTCTCAAATTTTAGATGATAATCTATATTTATCCAAATTATATTTATTTTATTGTTTCCAAGCAAAATCAATCTGAGTTGATTTTCTTTCATAATGTTAATAATCGTGATTAATCATAAAATCGCAGTAATTTCTCTCACAATAATTGTTTCAACATTTTAAATCATGGCAACCTTAGTTACCTCAACCTAATGTTAGAAAGTAACATTACTTTTGGATTTCTTTGTGTCACAAAAAAAGAGAACAGAAGTTTGTATGTTTTCTTTACGTATTCATCCATTTCTTGCTGTAAATAGTCTTGTATGCTCTGTTCATCTTCCATTATCGTGTGCCTGTGTACAGATGGAGCAGGAGCTGACGAAGCTACAAGCCACAGCGGCAGAGAATGTATCCACGGCGAGCAGGGAGGAGCTTGCCATCCTCAGGTACGGGGATGGGATCAGGGCTTGTCAAATGGAGTATTTTTACAAAGCACAAGTGAAACCGGATCCTCCTCCGTGTCCAATTAAATTTGATTTAACAAAACTGGGCTGTGATTAGGGGTGGGAACCTCAGGGTACCTCACAATACGATACGATATGCCAATTTATGGCATAAATAAAAGAAAAATGTTAAGTGAAAAAATACACCTTATTTCATGATAAATGGAATTGAGACATGTAATATAGTCTTATATTGATATTATTATTATTTATTTTTTTAAATCGATACTTGGCAAATGTATATTGATAATCGATCGTGGGAGAAAGTATCAAGATATATTGTTATATCGATATATCGTCACACTCCTAGCTGTGATTGAGTTGTGAACAACCTGTCTATTTTGTAACTGGCTTGAACCATACTGCGTTTAACAACGTAAACTGAATACTACTCAATGGGCCAGCAGATGCATTTAAGAGCACGGGGGAAAGCCTGCTTATATTGGAAATGTATGTACCTGATCGCCATTAGCCTATTCACTCATTTTGATCTTTTTGAAGCAGATAATCCTTCTGCACTTGTTTCTATGTTTTGGTTTTGCTAAGTGAAACAGAAGGAAACTAGGGCGCCAACTTTGGTCGCTGATTCAAGTTAGACAATGGCATCATGGTCGACCTAGATTCTCATTGATCAACTAGTAACTTAATAGTTCATTTGAACAGATAAAGTGAATTATTTGCGAAACAATAAAAAAAATGGGCGACTATATTTACTATTAATAATGTTGGTATGACGTTTTAAATCTTTGCTTTTTATTTCTACATTGTCAATTTTATTCACATGGCATAACGCGACTTCGGCTGTCAATCCTCTGTAAAGTCTATGGTGAAGTATAGAGGCAAGAACAGCCCAGTTACAATTTAACCATGGTTCTTTGAATCCTGGATGACTGCCAGAAGCTGTGCATTAAACACTGAATGATCATCCTCGCGCATAGGTTGAGTGCCAAATAACAAAGTCACCCATGACCTCTGGTAGCTCATGTGAGTCTATAAAGCCATATGATTATACCAATATCCCTGAAAAATGATTTGATCATTCTTTTACATTTTATAAAAACTGCTTTGGCGAGTCCATCCCCTCGCGGCTCACATGGCCATTCTGTGCAATAGTTAGCAATAATATGCCAAATATAGTTGCCTTTCAATTGTGACAAGCTGTAGCATCTATTGTATGCTTTCAGGATTTTTCAGAATCACTGCCCAAAGTTTGTAACCTTCAATTGCACAAGTATTCATTAATAGTCACAATCCCAGAGTATCTCATTTTGGAGATTTCACAAGGTCAGGTGTGTTGACAGCTCCTCTCTGGAAAGCCCTTCATGTCCCTCTCTGAGCATTGGCTCATTATTCCACCAGCGCTGTCTTGTTGTCACACAGAAGATATAACAGACAGGTGCCCCCCATTCAATGTGGCAGCCATGACAACCAGTCAACATTCAAAACGTTGGGGAATATAATGATTGTTATTGTTTTTAAAATGTAGATATTTAACAGTGAGTGGAGATGTGTCTTGGATCACCTGAGAAACGGGCATTTCAGACCAAAATGTCAGTTTGCACTTTTGGAGCATGACACAAAATTTGACGAGAAAGAAAGACCAAGACATATAAGAGTTCAAATATATAACATTATTTTTCCCCTGAGCAACGTAAAATGTGAGTAATCAATAGTGGATTTATCAATCATTCAACCCATTTACGTGTGTTCTAATCTGTCAGCCCACTTCACTTGGGAAGCTCAAGCTGCACACATGCTGAGACAAAACATAGCTCCCTCCATTAAAGAAATAGGTGTAGGGTTTCTGCAAATTTTTGAAGAATTTAAATTTGTGTCCCAACTAAAGCTGAAACCAAATGTACACCATCGGTTAATCCCTTCCACCTCTTCTATTCGGCGAGAGTCATGCTAACTAAAATGTCAATGTTTATTCATATATCTTACTGGAGAATTGATTTTTTTGTTCTTCATGCCGCTCAGTGATGTTAAATTTCCAATTGTAACCCCCAGAAGCAGAAACCATAGGGCTGATTGTGCTTGTTTTGCAGACAGAAGATTGAAGACTTGGAGGCGGAGAGACAGCGCTTGGAGCAGCACAGCAGCACACTGGAGATGCGACTGGAGAAACACACTCTACAGGTGGGTCCCCCCCCCCCAGGGCCTAGTAGATCTCTGAAAACTCAGCATTCAGCAGACATGACAGGACCCTTGTCTGGAACCTAAGATGGAGCCAATTCACTCACAAACTGCTCCTTGGCCTTTCACACACTGCTGGTTATTTGTAACAGAATTAAACGGAATTGTATTTGTTTTGCAATAATAACAATCTGCACAGACTCTTAGCGTGCTTCTACTTCATAGTGTTCAACTTTGAACACTACATTATTGTATATTTAACACATATATCATAAATTGAAAAAAGGAAACACATCGCCACTTGATTTCAGTCCCGTACCACTAAAATCAGCCATATATCAGATTCAGAAAACAAATATGCTTGTTTAAAACATCTCTAAAAACAACTACTGTGTAAATGACAATGGAAAACCATTATGGCTATATTCAAAGCTGTGAGAACGTATCGGGCTCTTTCATTAAAGATTTGTATTCTTCAATCAGCTGTAGTCAGGATTTAGGTTTGCGTGACTATCTCACAATACAAGGTCCAGCAAGTGTTAGATCAAGATTCAAATTACTCTAATACTCATTTTCTGGTCAAAATCTGGCCTATCCAAATAATAACATGTATCGAAACATCCGTGGGTCTGCGTGGGCCGAGAAGCTTCATTCTTATCGGTTCTGTTGACTGGTATATTTAGAGTTTTATCTGCAATAATAAACATCTACACACAACGGGCAGCCTTATGTTACAAACCTCTCTCCAACTGCCAGTTGTTCCTTGCCGATGCAGAAGGGTCTAAGGACAGTGGTGATGATCCGGGACATTCACACATTTATCAACATTTATGCACATTGGTCATCGTGCCCCCTATCTACCAATGGATATTATGTGTTTAAAATTTTATTTTCTGTGCTCAAATGGTTGGATTTTCTGATTTGTGTCGTGATTGTGCATATCGTATCATATCAACTTAACCCAATTTTATATTTCATGCAACGAAAGGAAGACAAACACAAGGGCCACAACTCGGTCAGGAACAGGGAAACAAACTAGTTTTACCACAAGGCGTTTGGCGCAAACAGCATTATACTGCACGTTTTTGTCCACATAGCTGAAACACATGAGGGGGGAAAAATAAAAACATCAGATTTTAGCACCATGGTCCCACTCAAAAAAAAAAATCAAGGAATTCACGTTGTAGGATTTTTAAAGAATTTATTTGTAAATTATGGTGGAAAATAAATATTTGGTCACTTCAAACAAGGAAGATCTCTGGCTCTCACGGACCTGTAACTTCTTCTTTAAATTATCAGAAAATGGAAGACATTTGCTCTTAATGTGTTTGATTTATGCATGATGTGATAGGGGATGTGAAGCGCTTTGCGTTGCCTTGTGTAGGAAAGGCGCTCTACAAATAAACGTTGATTGATTGATTGACATGCAAGACCACTGATAATCTCCCTCGATCGCAAGATCTCATCCCGTGGGGTCAAAATGATCATGAGAACGGTGATCAAAAATCCCAGAACCACACGGGGGGACCTGGTGAATGATCTGCTGAGAGCTGGGACCAAAGTAACAAAGGATACCATCAGTAACACACTACGACGACAGGGAATCAAATCCTGCAGTGCCAGACGTGTCCTAACCTGGCAAGAGCCAGATTGATGATTGTGTAGAACTCTAACGCGTTCTCCGCGATATCAATCTGGGATTTCTCACGGAGAATCCTTTCGGGGAAAGGAGGGATAAGCAGCAGAATACTTGAAGCTGATTGGGCGAAGTGACGCTGTGTGCCCGCCTACCAAGGTTTGACTTACGTAGGTAAAAATGCACAAACATCTTTGCCGTCCAGAAATGCACAAAGCGCCTCTCGCTGTTCATCTTTCAAAAAAGAAATTGGAGATTCTGCTAAAACTGACTTGATAGCCTCAGCTACGCGTCCGTCCTCCTGCGTAGCCATGTTTGTTTTGCTTCGGCCCGGCACTTCTTGCTTTCGTCAAACCCGGATATCCGCCCTAAACCCCCAGACTGGCGCGTGATTGGCTCGCACACCCAGTGGTTCGACTCGAAAAGTGTAAGCGGGAGCGGTACAAGATGTATTCTCGAGTGTTTGTGAACTCACAAATACCGCGAGAATTCAGCTTGCAGGCAAGGTTAGACGTGTCCCCCTGCTGAAGCCAGTGCATGTCCAGGCCCGTCTGAAGTTTGCCAGAGAGCACATGGATGATACAGCAGAGGATTGGGAGAATGTCATGTGATCAGATGAAACCAAAGTAGAACTGTTTGGTATAAACTCAACTCGTCGTGTTTGGAGGAGGAAGATTACTGAGTTTCATCCCAAGAACACCATACCTACTGTGAAGCATGGGGGTGGAAACGTCATGCTTTGGAGCTGTTTTTCTGCTAAGGGGACAGGACGACTGATCCGTGTTAAGGAGAAAATGAATGGGGCCATGTATCGTGAGATTTTGAGCCAAAACCTCCTTCCATCAGTGAGAGCTTTGAAGATGAAACGTGGCTGGGTCTTCCAGCATGACAATGATCCCAAACACACCGCCCGGGCAACGAAGGAGTGGCTCCGTAAGAAGCATTTGAAAGTCCTGGAGTGGCCTAGCCAGTCTCCAGACCTCAACCCCATTGAAAATCTGTGGAGGGAGTTGAAAGTCCGTGTTGCTCGGCGACAGCCCCAAAACATCACTGCTCTCGAGAAGATATGCATTAAGGAATGGGCCAAAATACCAGCTACTGTGTGTGCAAACTTGGTAAAGACCTATAGTAATCGTTTGACCTCTGTTATTGCCAACAAAGGTTATATTACAAAGTATTGAGTTGAATTTTTGTTATTGACCAAATACTTATTTTCCACCATAATTTACAAATAAATTCTTTAAAAATCCTACAATGGGAATTCCTGGACTTCTATAAGCCAGGCCCCCGTGGTTCTGAGGGAGATACACCACTACCAGAAGTCCACCGCTGGTCTTCCAGAACCTGCTCAGAGGGATCAGGACCAACATTATGACCAATCCGTCCAGAGCTCCACCTCTACCTGTTAGGTCTGTTTGAGGACACCTGTGCCAAGAGGGCGACCCCTGCTGAAGGATATTGAGCTGGCCTGACACAAAAGAGGACCTCGTCACATCTACTGTCAGCTGATGAATACTTGTTCTAAGGGGGTTTAATCCTGGGTTTTCTGCTTCAATTGGATTTTGATATTTATGATTTTGTGTTCATGTGTCTTGTCTGTTTTGCATGTATTGGCAAGAATTTGTGGGAGGAATAATTCATCTCAATCCATGCCAACTATTCCACCAGTGTTCCCATGCTCATGTGCAGTTAGACATATATATTTTTGTTTTCATTTTGGATCCCCAATTGTTTCCAGAAATGCAGAAACTATGTTTCCTGAGGTTTGTGGAGTGTCAAGAGAGGGATAGGGAATGACAGGGGCTATTGGACATGTTTTTAGTGGTTAGGGAAACTGGAGCACCCGTTGCAAATATGAAGAGAACATACAAATCCCACTTTTTGTCCAAAATCTTTCAGTGCACACAGCAGCAAGCATACTTTCTGGCTGACTGCATTCAACCATATTATTTCAAGACAATTCCATCTTGGTTATTGATAGTTTTTGTGAACTCTTTTTCTCAGCAGTTCTACGCTGCAGCCGAAAGGGTACCGGCTGCTTTTTACACAAATGCAATATTTTTATCTGTGCCCTTGCTTCACAAACGTTTCCCTACATTTTTCATGGACTTATTTATGTTCTTGTTTTTAGTACATATTGGGGGCTTAACATCTGTCTGTTTCACATCAAAAGTCTAGCACCTCAAGGGTTGATCTGGTGTGTTTTAAATATTGTGTATAGAAACATATTGCAAAATTTACCAAGGACGATGCATAGTCGTGAATGATTTCATGAGCGCATGCACAGTGTTTGTCATAATACCAAATATGTCACACCTCTGGCGGTCAGTAGGGATGAAATATAGCTATTCTGAACCCAAACCTACACTGCAGCTTCTGTTATCAGTGATCGAAAACCAATCATTTTGCTCAAGTGGTGAGTTTAATGAATTGACCATTGAAAATAAATGTAAGTACCACGCCCTGGCAGGTTGAACTGACTGTGTCAGAGGTCATTTCCAACCTGGGCCCAGCGTGACATCAATGGAGCCACAGCACTTGGAGCTTTTACTGCAGCCACACTTTCAGCCAGTTCCCAGCAGATTCCTGTAGAGCCCCGCAGAGCCCCGCTTCATAAGGCCCAACTAATAAACAGGCTTTGCAGTTGTGGCTGTTGGTAATGTCAGAGTTAGAAGAGCAGAAGAAATACTTCCTAAAAAACAGTATCTGTAGTGGAATTTTTTGACTCAATCTAGTTTACTTGCTGTGAATTTTTGAAGTCTCTCGTTCAAATGAATGGAGCTTGCGCCGGCTGACGCATGCGCAGATGCGTTTTTTCACAATTTTCTCGTGTGCGGGACCACTCGCTGCCATTTTGGAGAGCTCCAGTAGAGCACTATTTTTGGCCCATTAGTTTGAACGGCAGAGATAGGCGTGACTACGTCCATTAATTTTAACAGTCTATGGAAGGCACCCGAGAGGAAGTTTGAGGGACTATAGTTCAATTAACGAATGGCAGCTGCAGGAGCCTCCACTATGCCCCCCTGCTAAGAGGAGTTAAAAGGTCGCCTGTGTCGAGTCGAGGCAGAATGGTATGGACGCCCTTTTGGAGAGTCCAGAAGAGTTGAAGGGGCCTCATTCCCTTGCCTACCCCTTGGGTTGTGGAACTCGGGTGACTAAAATTGTATGCTTATCTTTTTGAAGGGTAATTTGTGTGAATAGGTTAGAGCAGTGATTCTTACACTATTGTGCACTTAAACTCTGCTCCAATCACTTTTGCTGTAATAGCACATCTCGCACAGCGCTCTGCTTCCATTACTCCGCAGGGCGCCGTCTCAAGCGTGACCGCCAATCTCCAAGCCATTTGCGAGTCTGTGTGTGCAGCCGCCAGAGAGGGAGAGCTCCCCGACTTTATGCCCAATGGCCCAGCTCGTCCAGTCTCGTAGTCTAGTTCACCTCCGTCATGGTTTATCGCGCAAAACTGTCGATAGCTGCAAGGACCGAATCCTCAGAAAGAAAGAGTTAAGGGATGGCTGTAAAAGTGTAAAATAAAATCTAATTGGTGGTTTTATAGAGCGTAGCTGGCTCTGCGGTGTGGAGAAACGAGTCACTTGGATGAAAATGAGAAAATTGACAATTAAAAGTGCAAAAATGAGAATTGTTTTAGAGATGTTTGCTTTTCTTTCTATTTGTCTATTTCTATTTCTTTTCTATTTCTATTTGCATTACATTATCTACACATCAAATCTTTAAAAAATTAAAAAGAAATGCAAAATAATTGATAAACAAAAATAATGAAACACAAAAATCACAAAGACGAGATGTGCTTTGATCTGTTATATTGTCACAGTAAATTCAATCTAAATATGGATCTACATTCCTTATATGGAATAGAGCCTTCTATTGCTTAATTCTATGTAAATGTTATTTGGCTGTAATCCTCAACATAATGTAGTCGTGACCTCTAACCTTTTTTTTTATTTATTTTTTTTGAAGGGAAACATTTCTCTGCTGTTTTCTGCTTTTTTTCTTTTTTCAGCTTAGACAATATAGACCTTGTTCTAAAGCCCAATACGTCATTGACTTTATTTGCACGTACTGTACTGACGTGGTTTTTGATTGTGTCACTTCTGTCACTTCTGTTAGTGGCGCTAATGGTAAACATTTGTCATTCAGCCGACTTCAGCTCTGTTATAGATCATCATGAAGCTCAGAACAGCCCAATGCCAGTCAAGACAGTTTTTCAGTTCGTGATTTTGGCCCCTGGACTAGTCTGGTGAACTAAAAGTGGCCCTCTTACTAAAAAGTTTAGACACCCCTGCATTAGACCATTGTTGGCTAACAATGTTGCAAAAGAAAATCCAGAGAAATCACCCCAAGGAGAATTGTGGACTGGCTGAGGAGACTTTACTTTTTTCACAGACTAAGGCGAACCTTCACCCAAAAAGTTTGAATTCATGTTCCAAAACAGGACATGCTATACTTTATCTTAATTTTCAAGTTTGAAAATGTTGTGAAGGGCCTTAATATTGGTGATGTCTCCTTTAATCCCTGTGATTGGGAGGTGGTCCAGGCTTCTGGAGAGAGGTGATCCTGTACTGACGTGGTTTTTGATTGTGTCACTTCTGTCACCTTGCTTCTGGGGCAAACGTGTTGGGATTGTGGCCTCTGAATAAGACATGTGCGGCCCGAGGCGTGATCTGTGTAAAAGCATGTTGTGTATATGCATGTGTGCCTGTTACCAAGTGCATCCTTTGTTGTTTTCCCTTCTTGCTCCTCAAAAACACAGCCTTTTATTGTGAACTACAAAGTGAAATATTAATCCTGTGTATGACCTAATTCAGTGCAAGTATTGTTTATCAAGCGTAGCACTGGTAGAAACGCAGTAGTTTATTTTAGAAATAGCACTGTTTTGGACTTGCATACATCATTGTGTTCATTTCATCATCTATGTTTATCATCAACTAGTTCAAAGTCAAGTGATTTCTATCATTCTAACAGAACATAGTCCGTTCATTCTACATTTTTGGTAGATTTATGCTGCAAGTCTGTCAGATTGCATGTTTATTACGTTTGCACAAACTATGTGTGTCTATTACATCACTAGCTAACATTTAAATAAAAAAATGCAGAACTCCTTACGTTGAATTGAAGGCGGTTTCAAACAGACTTCAGAGATTTCAGAAACGCTGATCTGCACAGTACCCCAGGACATCCCGTTATAATGCACTACAGCAGGGGTCACCCCATTATTAGCACTGATGATGACTAATATTGTAAAAGCAGATTTTTCTATACTTTGTTAATTTTGTATATAATAGTCTTGTCCAGCGTCCAAAACAACAGTGATATGTTTAGTCCGGTCTGGGTGTAAATAAGTGTTTCATGTTACCACCTAAGCTACATAAGACTTTAACATCAGCAGCATACATTTTTCTACTGAAAGCAAACTTCTACTCGATCTAAAACATTTTTTTTCCTTCAATATTCATTACACAGCCATCCATTTACTGCATACTGAACTTGTCAAGCTGAATGCAAACATATGGTCCGGAAAACAGCCACACTCATTCAGCGGAACCATCCAAAGACACTTCCAGAATGTGTTCATAAAGGAGTGATGGTTCCAGGAGAAAGTGTTGTTGGCATTAGCGCTGCCAGGATGTGGGGATACGAGGCTGCTACAGTCTGCCAAACACATTTGTGGAAACAGATTAAACAGGCTTTGGATACATAAGTTGCCACAGACACCACTTGCACGAGAGCTTAGACTACAGAGAACAATCAAACTTGTGAGTCTTTGCGAATTACAAACTGCTCTCACTTCAGACCACTGTGTCCCAGTTTACAGCAGTTCTTATTTTTTTACATCCAATGAGGACAGTGGACAGAGACCAACAGAGAAGTCTAACATATCCATTACAGTTACAAACTCACCATCATCTGTATTTCTTTTTTTCCCCGACGTTCTTAATTCAAAGAACTTGTGACCTTTTAAACTGTCATTTAAAGGTCACATTATTATGCAAAGTCCTATCTGATTTTTTATCCATGTTACAACTTCAGTTCTTCTTAGTTGTTCCCTTCATTCCTTTTAACACAAGAGTCTTCCAAGTTAGTTTTGGGAGTCTATCTAGTGAAGTTACAGTTTTCAATTGCATGCCTTCAATATGACAGCATAGCGAGCCATGTAAGAGTGAAGCTCCTGTACATCAGCATTGGGGCTGTTGCAACGTGCTGCTCTTTCCCAGAGATTATGTTTTTTTCCTTTACGGCAGAGCTGGGGAAAAAGCGTCCTGGGGGCCTCATGCAGCCCTATTCACATTTCTATGGGTCACCCTTTATAGTAATAATTTGTTGTACACAACATTCTGTAGATCAGTCTAAGATACTCTCCTTTCTTAAACTTTCTTGTTAAAAAAATTCTAAACCCGGAGTGACCTCGGATTTAGTTGAAAGTTGAAAGTTGAAATGGATGAACGGTGAAGGGCCCGAGTGCTAGGGTAACTAGAGGAATAGAAAGCTAGCCCTTATTGTTATTTTATTTTATTTTATTGTATATTTGTTCTAATTATTATTTAGTATTTTTCATCATTGTTATTTTTTTTGTATATGGTTACTTTGATTTCATTGACATAGTTTTGATATAATGATAAGTCAGACATCAAATATGATGCATACTAATTATTTTCTGTTTACTACGCTACTTACTTGGTGGTAAGCAAAGTGGTCTGATTTTATTACGCCCTGGACATAATGTAAAGTGACTTTGTGTTTTTTTTACTGCATTAAAACAATAAAAACATTTTGAAATAAATTAAAAATTTCTAAACCCATGATAACACAGAAATGACCTATGATTAAGAAAAGAAAAAAATTGATATTTAGGCCCCGCTTCCATCACCTTCCCTTCTTTAAATATTTCGCTTTATAAAATAAATACATATTAACTAAAGTAGTAAAATAAGGGTTTTGGTGTCTTTTTAAGATCACGGCCTCACAACCTCTGGTGACCGGAGGGCCTGCATAAGCACAGTTGTTAGATGTCTGGAACACCCACATAATGTGGCGTAAGACATGACATGAATCAGAGAAATGTAACAAAACAAATACTCAACTTTGTGGTTTGTAGAGGAAGGTCTTTATGTACATATAAGATGGACGGGAGTTCAAATGGAAGCGGCACATGCAGTCCGTTCAATCCGAGGCTCTCTCAAATATTTACAAATGCTGCTTATATAGCTTTGGTCGGCCGGGAGGAGTTAAGAAATGTTCTCCGTAATTTCCTTTTTTGGATACACAGTGCGGCTTGCATTGACTTGTCCAGTTGGATGATGTATGTCGTCTGTCTTTCACGGTCTGTCTCCATGCTTCTGTGTCAGCATTGCGATCCGATTTTTTTGTGAATACCTCTGTGTCTGTATTTAGTTCCCTGACCCAACAGTGAACCAACATGTTCAGAAAAAACATACTTACAAGTAGCTTTCTCAGAATTAAACTTGTTTGAAATCAAGTTCGGCCTTCCAGAATATGATGATTTCCCCATGTCCTCCTCAGAGAAAATAATTGCCCATCTGTGCTCTATGGTCTGCTCTGCCGTCTGTAGAAGTCCTCTCCCTGATCCCTGTTGTCTCTGCCTCTCAGGGAGATTTTGATCCATCCAAAACCAAACTTCTGCACTTCAAGATGAACCCAACAGCCGTGGCCAAGCAGCAGCGGCAGCAGGAAGTGGACAGTCTGCAGGAGGAGCTGACCCGACTCCGGGAAATGGTTCGCGCCATGCAGGAGGGTGGATCCCAAGATGAGAGCAGTGTGTTGGGGCTGAGTGTGAGCCTTCCCCCCTCTAAGGAGGTCCTGGGTGAGTGAGGCTTTTATTGTATTGTTTGTTTTGGATTTTTTACCTAAAAAAAAGCACATTGCTAGAGAATTTACTTTTTAGCAAAGAGCAAAGCGGTACCTGCAGACAGATGCTTTGATCCTAAACAACTTGGTTCCCCTGTTTTGTGAAGATATTATAAAATATAGGGGAACCTAGTCTGGCTCCTTTAGGATAATATTGCAACAACTTCACTGACCCTATTGGAAAGTAGGGTGTAAGAATTGACAGGTGTATCTCACAACATCTGATGGACACGTTTTGAGCCAAGATGTTATTCTGAGGGTTTGAGGTATATTTTTCTGCATAGCAACAGGGACATTGATCGTGCACTCTGTAACTGCAGTGTTTCAAATGAATGAACCTTAATTCGTCCCTCAGTGAAGACATTTCAATGTTGCAGCATGGATACTGGTTGTGCTAAGTACTTTTCCCTCAACTTTAGTTATTTTATTTAATCACTGCACATCCAATGCTCCTCAACCCAAAATGTGATCATTTCTCCCGTTTGAGACTGGTGCAGTGACGCCGCTTTGAGTAAAAACACGGAAGAATATACGCTGCTTTTTGAAATATTAGATCAGCACCACAAGCAGCAGCAGCTCTACCTTTCATTTCATGTGTTTGAACCGTCTGTTTTTTTTATCCGTTGTTGGAAAATCCACAACTTTGTAAAATCCTCTAAGACGCTGCTGTCGTGATTTAGAACCACACAAAATAAAATGATTTGAATTGAATCCTTGGATGCGGTCACTCGCAAGGTCGCAAAGATATGTATTTGAGTAAACTTTATTTGAGCCATGACATATACACAGCCACGGCAGGAAATGGCTAAAAGCTCATGTTATTATTAGCAATACAGGGAATTTACACTGTAGGCGTTAACAGCGCGTATGTGTTGACAGTGCGCAAAGGCGCCTAACATTATTTGGGTGTATCTACACTGGCCATGCGCGCAGGTCCGCTGCTTCTGATGCTCTCCTTGTGTAGTCCGTGGAGAAGTGTAGAGGACTATATGGGCCAGAGGAATGATGTAGAGCAACAAAAATCCTGCTAATGTTTAGATATAAGTGCTGTGAGTGTGTGTAGATGCGATCTAAAGCCAAGGGCCACTAGAAAAATCATGTCCCGGACCCCCTCAAAAAAGAGATGATTCATCTCAAGGGGCCATCCACAATAAATAAATAAATAGTTTCACTTATGTTTTGACTGGGAGACGCGTTGCTGCGCGCACAAAATTAGAAATCCTTCCTAAATTAGGAGCAGCCTCGCGTCAAGACGTCAGACATATGCACATATAACACTAGTAGTGTAAATCTCACCATTGGTTAACATGGAAACATGTTACGCGCGTCTGCTGCGCGTACAACGCGTACGTGCTGTAATGCCTCTTGTGTAAATTAGCTGTGAGCCACAGCGCCCTATCTGCACCACGGTAAGAAAACAGAACATTCACTCATGCTGCTTGTGACGTCCCTGAGCACGCTGTCCCACAGAGCGCATGTGAGGAAGCGCGCGCCCGGTGCCATGGTGGCTGCCCGGTGCCAAACCCATTCATTGACTGCTTCTATAGTAAAAGGACGGTGTTTGTAGCATGTAGCGTGCTTGAACGTGTCTTCAGGGTGCACACTTGGAAGCGTTGCATGGTGTGTTACATCTCGTTACATGTGTCATTCACTCGCCTGTGTGCTGGCGTGGTGCGTTTTGGCAAATCCGGACATAAGGAGCCAGTGGCTTAAATGCACCTGTCTGTGGGTAATGTGGACCACAACTCATTTGCATGGAAATTTATGTGTAGCTTGAAATGTATTTTATTCTGTGTATGTACCCAAGTGTAAATCTATGGGAAATACTCATGTGTTGTAGATATGGTTTATTATTAGGATGATTTATTTGTGCCAGCAGGGTACATAAGGTGTGCTTGTCTGCCCCATGGCAGTTGTGACTCAGTTACAGAAAAGGTAACGTGGACTGCAGGAGCGAGAGTAAAAGCTAAGGAAAAAGAGACATTTTGTAGAAGTCGTGTATATTTTTATTTGTAAATATCCTTTTCGCCTGTAGACTTTTCAATGTGCTCTGTAAATCATTTTTGTACATTTCCCACTGCTTTTTTTTCTACTGAGAGTTTTAGATTAAAAACTTCTGAAAACAGTCTTTCCGACCCAGCCATTGGTATTTTTAAACAAACCCTCACACTGCTGATAAATTATTCTGCCGATTGTTTTTGTTAGTTCAATAAACACACAGGTTTATAGAAACAATGTTTACTCCATCACGATAGCAGACAAATGCATACTCGCGTGAGCATCAACATGAACACCAAAACCTCGCGATGCTAACACCGCTCCTCATTTGTGCATATGAAAACATAACTTCACAGTTTTGTGGGGATTCTGTGGCTGCTAACGCGCTCAGGCGAGAAAAAACTGCTGAAATTTCCAAAACTACCAAATCGCTTGCTGCTACTTGAATGTGTGACCCATCCATTTCTCTGTAAATCTGTGGCAGGCCCTGCGCTGACTAATTTCGCATTGCTATTTGTTTTACCTTATTCACCTCTGCGGCAGTGCGTAGCTGGTGCCACGACAGGTTCCACCCATGGATCTATTATATTAACTGGATAGGGTTATACTAGCTTGGAGCTGAAGATCCATGTGCTCGGGGGATTCTCGCGGTACTGCAGACTAAACCAGACTAAATTCACGTGGGCCGCCCAGAAATTTTCCCCATGAAACTCAATGTAAACTAAAACAGCTCGACCTCAGCTGACAGAGAACCTACAGCTTTGATAAAGGTCGGAATTTGTGGGGATTTTTCTGTCCCTTGTCATCCTGAACTTTTTTCTTCTTAAATCCTTCGGTTTTCTTTAAATCCACACTTTAGTGCCACAAACTCTGCCCGTCTGGCTCCCGCTCTAACTCCCGCTCTGATGAGCAGTTCTGATTGGTCAGAGCGCGGCCGAGCCCCTCTGTGCACGTGCATGACGGCCACAAACGCGTATTTGGCGCAACACATCATGGGAGATCATCCACTGCGCAGAACCGGGAAAACCAGACGATGCCCAAATACAGGCGAGTTTCCCATGGATCCATGCGAGTTCCAGGCGACTTCCACTAATCTTTCAGCCCCCGTGCCGGCACAATGCGCCACTGAGCACAAACCATTCATTTGAATAGGGCGCCATCTTGGATTGCCGGGGCTTGGTCCCACCGCATAACTCCTCAAATGTGGTACGCGTCATTCTTTAGTTTCGGATTTCTCTGAGGTCATGTACCAATATTTCCCAAAGCTTCTCATATACATCTTCTCTCAAGTGTACAGCGCTCCATTGCATTCACAAGAAGATGCTGCAGACGCTTCATCCAGTTCAGATTTTTGCAATGTCTCAAAAAGGTTTTGCAAATTTTTTGGATGGAAACGCAGCTGAATATAGCGTATATAGCAAACATGAACAAACTCAACTCTTCAAGAGCTCGTGTCACATGCCTTTTGGCTTCCAAACAATCTTCCTGGCCGACTTCCATTTAGTTATGTCGTAAAAACGGGGCGTGAAACAAGCGGTTTCTGCATATTTATAGGCGTGACTTTCATAAATTTGTTGGTTTTCAGCCGTGGCATTTATTAACAGTAGGGATGTACCGAATCCAGGTTTTTGGGGTTCGGCCGAATACCGAATCCTATTCCATCCTCAGTCCATTTATGTTTCATACGCAAATGTTTTAACAGCGGCGGTGTTGTGTACTGTTTAGGGTCCTCACCACCACGAGACAAATCGGCATTGCAAATTGGACATGTACAGTGCCTTGCGAAAGTATTCGGCCCTCTTGAACATTTCGCCACATTTCAGGCTTCAAACATAAAGATATAACATTTAATTTTTTTGTCATGAATCAACAACAAGTGGGACACAATCGTGAAGTGGAACAACATTTATTGGATAATTTAAACTTTTTTAACAAATAAAAAACTGAAAAGTGGGCCGTGCAATATTATTCGACCCCTTTACTTTCAGTGCAGCAAACTCACTCCAGAAGTTCAGTGAGGATCTTTGAATGATCCAATGTTGTCCTAAATGACTGATGATGATAAATAGAATGCACCTGTGTGTAATCAAGTCTCCGTATAAATGCACCTGCTCTTTGATAGTCTCAGGGTTCTGTTTAAAGCGCAGAGAGAACCATGAAGACAAAGGAACACACCAGGCAGGTCCGAGATACTGTTGTGGAGAAGTTTAAAGCCGGATTTGGATACAAAAAGATTTCCCAAGCTTTAAACATCTCAAGGAGCACTGTGCAAGCAATTATATTGAAATGGAAGGAGTATCAGACCACTGCAAATCTACCAAGACCCGGCCGTCCCTCCAAACTTTCATCTCAAACAAGAAGACTGATCAGAGATGCAGACAAGAGGCCCATGATCACTCTGGATGAACTGCAGATAACTACAGCTGAGGTGGGAGAGTCTGTCCATAGGACAACAATCAGTCGTGCAATGCACAAATCTGGCCTTTATGGAAGAGTGACAAGAAGAAAGCCATTTCTCAAAGACATACATAAAAAGTCTTGTTTAAAGTTTTCCACAAGCTACCTGGGAGACACACCAAACATGTGGAAGAATGTGCTCTGGTCAGATGAAACCAAAATCAAACTTTTTGGCCACAATGCAAAACGATATGTTTGTCGTAAAAGCAACACAGCTCATCACCCTGAACACACCAGCCCCACTGTCAAACATGGTGGTGGCAGCATCATGCTTTGGGCCTGCTTTTCTTCAGCAGGGACAGGGAAGATGGCTAAAATTGATGGGAAGATGGATGGAGCCAAATACAGGACCATTCTGGAAGAAAACCTGTTGGAGTCTGCAAAAGACCTGAGACTGGGACGGAGATTTATCTTCCAACAGGACAATGATCCAAAACATAAATCCAAATCTACAATGGAATGGTTCACAAATAGACGTATCCAGGTGTTAGAATGGCCAAGTCAAAGTCCAGACCTGAATCCAATCGAGAATCTGTGGAAAGAGCTGAAGACTGCTGTTCACAAACGCTCTCCATCCAACCTCACTGAGCTCGAGCTTTTTTGCAAGGAAGAATGGGCAAGAATTCCAGTCTCTCAATGTGCGAAACTGATAGAGACATACCCCAAGCGACTTGCAGCTGTAATTGCAGCAAAAGGTGGCGCTACAAAGTATTAGCGCAAGGGGGCCGAATAATATTGCACGCCCCACTTTTCAGTTTTTTATTTGTTAAAAAAGTTTAAATTATCCAATACATTTTGTTCCACTTCACGATTGTGTCCCACTTGTTGTTGATTCTTGACACAAAATGTAATTTTTATATTTTTAAATTTGAAGTCTGAAATGTGGCGAAATGTTGAAAGGTTCAAGGGGGCCGAATACTTTCGCAAGGCACTGTAGCTCGACCGGAATCTATTATTATAACATTTATAATAATCCCGTTTATCATTAAACAGAAATACATTCAGTTTACAGCAGTGTAAAACTTAAGTGATAACGTACAGATATTACTGTGCATGTCATGTAAAAATAAGAGCTAAAGCACCGTACATGCATAAATAGCTTCCACTGGTTCAGGTCAAAACATTACATACAGTGCCTTGCGAAAGTATTCGGCCCGCTTGAACCTTTCAACATTTTGCCACATTTCAGTCTTCAAACATAAAGATATAAAATTTTATTTTTTTGTCATGAATCAACAACAAGTGGGACACAATCGTGAAGTGGAACGAAATTTATTGGATAATTTAAACTTTAAAAAAAAAAAAAAAAACTGAAAAGTGGGGCGTGCAATATTATTCGGCCCCTTTACTTTCAGTGCAGCAAACTCACTCCAGAAGTTCAGTGAGGATCTTTGAATGATCCAATGTTGTCCTAAATGACTGACGATGATAAATAGAATGCACCTGTGTGTAATCAAGTCTCCGTATAAATGCACCTGCTCTTTGATAGTCTCAAGGTTCTGTTTAAAGCGCAGAGAGAACCATGAAGACAAAGGAACACATCAGGCAGGTTCGAGATACTGTTGTGGAGAAGTTTAAAGCCGGATTTGGATACAAAAAGATTTCCCAAGCTTTAAACATCTCAAGGAGCACTGTGCAAGCAATTATATTGAAATGGAAGGAGTATCAGACCACTGCAAATCTACCAAGACCCGGCCGTCCCTCCAAACTTTACTCAAACAAGGAGAAGACTGATCAGAGATGCAGCCAAGAGGCCCATGATCGCTCTGGATGAACTGCAGATAACTACAGCTGAGGTGGGAGAGTCTGTCCATAGGACAACAATCAGTCGTGCACTGCACAAATCTGGAATTCTGGAAGAGTGGCCATTTCTCAAAGATATCCAATAAAAGTCTCTTAAAGTTTGCCACAAGCCACCTGGGAGACACACCAAACATGTGGAAGAAGGTGCTCTGGTCAGATGAAACCAAAATCAAACTTTTTGGCCAATGCAAAACGATATGTTTGGCGTAAAAGCAACACAGCTCATCACCCTGAACACACCATCCCCACCTCAGCTGTAGTTATCTGCAGTTCATCCAGAGTGATCATGGGCCTCTTGGCTGCATCTCTGATCAGTCTTCTCCTAGTTTGAGATGAAAGTTTGGAGGGACGGCCAGGTCTTGGTAGATTGGCAGTGGTCTGATACTCCTTCCATTTCAATATAATTGCTTGCACAGTGCTCCTTGAGATGTTTAAAGCTTGGGAAATCTTTTTGTATCCAAATCCGGCTTTAAACTTCTCCACAACAGTATCTCGAACCTGCCTGGTGTGTTCCTTTGTCTTCATGGTTCTCTCTGCGCTTTAAACAGAACCTTGAGACTATCAAAGAGCAGGTGCATTTATACGGAGACTTGATTACACACAGGTGCATTCTATTTATCATCATCAGTCATTTAGGACAACATTGGATCATTCAAAGATCCTCACTGAACTTCTGGAGTGAGTTTGCTGCACTGAAAGTAAAGGGGCCGAATAATATTGCACGCCCCACTTTTCAGTTTTTTATTTGTTAAAAAAGTTTAAATTATCCAATAAATTTCGTTCCACTTCAAGGTTGTGTCGAAATGTGGCGAAATGTTGAAAGGTTCAAGGGGGCCGAATATTTTCGCAAGGCACTATATGTAGTAGTGCGGAGTTATGTACTGTACATATAGTGCAGGATATAGGGTAGATAAAGTAAAGTGACATTGTTCAGTGGACATTCCGAAGTTGCAGTATTGCACATTGCACATGATTTAAGAATTTACTTATTTACAAAAGAATGAAATTTACAGGCTCAGCTTGTTGCCCATCCATGGTTGTATACAACTCTGAAATCTTCATGAAAATGCAAACATTTCAACTGAGGAGTGTAGTTTCCCCACATATGTACAGGAGAAGTGTCTGGAGACTTCTGACAGCCCTGACAGCGACTGCCAGCGAATCCTCATGAGTGACAGAAGAGAAGAGCTCTCGCCTTGCGCTTTATCACCACGCCACATTTACTGGATTAACTTTAATTGCAGTACGAAGAAGTGCAAGACTACAGCCCAAGCCAGGCGGAATTAGACATATTTAGGGGTTTTACGAGCGGCAAACCAATATAGCCCACTAATGCTGGAGAGTCATTACTGCCTCATTAAATCAGCTCTGTGATTAAACATGAGACTCCTCTGTTTGGAAACTTTGCTCATGTTAAGGGGCACGATGCAAACATTTTTAGCCATTTAAAATTGTTCATGGAGTTATTTTTCCAAATGAATAAGCAGAACTTCTGGCACACACACTTTGCCCCCTAAGAAAAATCATCAGAGCTCTTATTATTCCCATTGGATTAATGTTTTGTAGGCCATGTCCTGTGCGCTGATGAAGGGTCAGGGCTGTTGTGATGTGATACCTCTGGAGCAAGGGTTCTAGTAGTGAGCTGGTGTTCTGTCGAGTTGTGCTGCCTCAGCTGTTTATGATGTAATGCAAACCCGCGAATGCGCGTTTCACGGCAGCAGAGGCAAACCAAGATGGCGGACATAAAGTCTGTATTTGTTAAAGTTATTGTTTTGGCAAATCAACAATTCTGTGACACCATTTGAGATGACTACTGTTGGGTTTTTTGCGATATTTTTTGTTTTATTGTATTGTATATTTGTCTTTCATTATAAAATCTTCTATTGTGCATTGCAAAGGTATTTATACCCCACAACCATTTTCACATCTAATAGTTTTTTGGCTTTTTTTGGAAAGAGCATCAAAAGTGGCAGACATTTTTGGGATAGTGAAAGAAAAATTGTGTAACTTTCACAAATAAAAACTAAAAAAGTGTGTTTTGCAAAAGTATTATTTCCCATCTGACTCAATACTTTGTTGAACCCCCACTGCTACACCTATACTGTTGTACTGACAAGATGACCTTTTACAATAACATTCAAATACCAAACTTCACACTAAAACATTAAAGAAAAATGCAAGGCTAGAGTTTTGTTTTTGCTCCGTTTTCATGAGCTTGTTTGATTGATTTCCTATTTCAAATTTAAACCTTGTATATTGGCAGGGAGGGTTGGCAGGAGGGTCTAAGGACCGTGTTGAACATTGATGTTGGGCTGTCTCAGGATGAAAATCTAACCTCACAGTTATTGTGGCCAAAATTATTACGGTTACTAGTATCATTGTTGTATTCTTAAAGTTAAGTGAATTTGTAAAGTAAGTATTGATAGTTCTACACAAACTGAATTATTTTGATAAAAGTGAACAACATTGATAACATCCACTTAAATATAATACACGTAGTGTCAACTAAAATGTTTAAAACATACAAAGTGCATGGTATTGTTTGCCTTCAACTAGCGCTCAATAATGCTGTGTGTTAATTTCACAGTCTCATCTATTACTGTTTAGCTTAGCAAATTAGCTGCTAACAGGCTGCCGGTGGGCGCTGTGGCTGCTCTTTTACATTAACATTATTGACCGACGGATAATCAGACAAATCATTGCATTCTACCTCAACCAAAAGTCACCCCTCCCTATTTATTTCAGCTAAAACGTTAACGTTATCTTACTTAGCATTGGCTATAGAGTTGTTGGTGATGATCAGGCAGATTTATCAGGTGTTTGCTGCCTTTAGAGGAAACCTTTTTCCTGCACATTTTGCGGACAGGCTAGCTGTCTTCCATCCGTTATAATTGTTAAATTATCTAATCTTTTGTTTTCTTCTGAGACAACGGCTATGCAAAAGTAAATTAACTGAATATTTTTGCAGAGCTCCGTAAGCAGATGGAAAGTTCGGAGCTGAAGAATCAGCGTCTAAAGGAGGTGTTCCAGAAAAAGATCCAGGAGTTCCGGACTGTGTGCTACGTGCTGACAGGTTACCAGATTGACATCACCACAGCCAACCACTACCGACTGACTTCTGTGTACGCTGAGCACATGGACGACTCGCTGCTCTTTAAGAAGGTACACTCCACTCTGCTTACTGCTTTAACTGAGCACGAGGCCAGTCAAAAAGTACAAAAGACTTCTAAACTCCAAAAAATATGAAAAATAAGTAAAAAATTGCTCAGATTTGGCAACATGTATCTTTATTTGAGCACATTTTTTACTACCTTAAACAAGATTTGCCAATAGGAGAAATTGATGAAAAGATAAAACCTGTCTACCTTGGAATGAGAAAATAAAGCAACAGTTGAAATAATACTAAAAAGCTTGTCTCTTTGGCAAATCTTGTTGTAATAGATTTGACAATGAGACAAATCTATTACCCTGTATTTTATAATTGTTTTGCAGTGAAACTAACAACCTAACAAACAACGCAGCATGAGGCAATGTCCCGCTGTGGTCCTGGGGTGTAATTGCGTGTCTGCCCTGGAACAGTTGGCATGGTTGTGCCAGTGTTGGCTTTTCACCATGGGGAAGACGGGAAGGAGTCAAAATGTGTGTAGTTTTATAACCTTCCCCTGCATGAAAGCAACAGCCTAGAAAACAGTTTGCTTTTATTGTGTTTTAGTTATGCTACTTTTGGTCACAATGAACATGTCTCGAAAAAAGGACGAGGTCGGAAGGAGAGTTTGTTGCCGCATCGTTTGGACACACCAGCTCAGTGTGTGGGAAAGAGGAGAAAATCTACAGCATCCTCAACAGTTTTCTGCATTTTGAAATAGAAGTATTACCTCTAAGTTTAGCAAGTTTGGTTTATTTTTCTGGTCAAACTTGATACAATTGTATTTCCCACTTCTATGGCTAGTTGGGTTGTTTCTAACCCCTCTTGACGTGTTGATCAGTACAAGTACAAGACACACCTTCATATGCAGATAGGAAAGGAAGAAGCAAGGAACAATGACAAGACCTTAGAATCACAATGCAGCCATTCAGCACATAATCTAGCCACATATGATTTACCGAAATTATAACTTAAATTACCTTCCAATGTCAAATACCTGAGGCACTTTTTTAACTCATTGCCTGCCAGCCCATTTAACAACAGGTAATCCCATATTGCCAGCATTTTCTGATGATTTTTATTGATTTTTCAACAGTATATTGCAACAGTATAATCCCCAGTCGAGTAGAGGGAAGTTTTACTGAAATTACAAGTCCAGAGGCAGCGCTGGTGCCACCTGCTGGCTCGATAAAATATGCTCTAGAGCTAATCCCCATACATATTAGATATAACAGACATCCAGAAAACATGAAAATAGTGAAAAACACATTTGAGGCATTAATGACGTGCGTCAATGGCAGACAATGAGTTTAAAGGTATGCCCGGAAGAACGTTGAATGCGACCGAAACATGTCGCCATATCCAATCAATACTGGACTTTTAGGGTGTATTCAGAATCCTGGTCAGGACCAAAGAACCGAACCGAGACCCACTTTTTTAGGTGGTCTCGGTCCGCTTCCAAACGTGTTCTGGTCCGAGTTGATTCAGGTCTGAATACATCCGGTGTCTATCCGACACAACTCCAAGATACGTGCAAATTTTTTGGGCTTAACAAGCTGTAGACAGAAACTGTGAGGAATTATCCACGCAGCTGCTAACTATGCTTCTAACGCATGCTACACAACAACACTGAGCCGTGGGCAGACCTGGAGCAATGAGGAGACGCTGTGCAACAGGCTTATGGAGTTACAACTGTTCACAGTATACAGTGGTGTTAATGGCAGCATCTTCAAATCATTTGCATTATTAAAAGCCTGACATTTTTTGACTCGCGTCTCATGTGAATTGTGTTCTTTGGTTCATACCTGATCCTCCGTCGTCTGTTTATCCCGTTGTTACTATAGATTCATGGTTTATCCACAATGCTGCTGTCAGTATGTTGTGGAACAGAGTTATTATTATAGATTCATGTGTGGGACAGGGCACGGAGAGCACAGACAGTCTCCTTCGGCTTTCTCCTCACGCATTCTCCGACGCTGGTCCAATATTTAAAACAACGTGTTTGGCCTGTGTCATATGAGCTGCTGCTGTTGATGTTGAAGGTGGTTTTGCTCTAAAAAGAGCAAACATAGGCAGAGCAGACATGCTGCACATACGAGCTCAATGTTTTCCTCCGGTTCCGCATCTATCCTCCTTGAGCTCTCACTGTCCAATAGGAGAGCCGATTGTCACACGCGTCCGTATGTTTATATAAAAAAGTTCACTAAAAGTACAATATGAATACGAACTGGAGCAAAAGAAAAAAAGTTTGGTCCGCTTTTGATTCGGAGCAAGCAAGCGGAGCAAAGGACTTTTGAGGTCTGCATACAACCTTATTCTCAGGATCCGGAGTGCCTCGGAATTTCTCCACTCCTCCTAAGCAAAAGCAAATGTTTCTACAACCCAAATGAACTCTATTTGTGCTTGATAATTGTAGTTTGAACACAAAGTGCGCTGGCATCAGAACATAAAAGCTGGACCATCTCCAGCCCTAGCTCCTCTGTGTTTGGCGTCCTCATTAACCTAGAAAAAGCCCATGCTACTTCATTCACTAATAAAGAGTAAGTAAGCTAGTAAGTAAGCTTTTATTTATATACCGCCTTTTCACTGCACATCGGAGTCTCAAAGCGGTTTACAATTGTTGGGTGGGGGTGCCAGTACAGGAGGCACATGCCAGACCTATTGTACATATTTTTAGTGGTAGGGGAAACCGGAGGAAACCGGAGCACCCGGAGGAAACCTACGCAGACACAGGGAGAACATGCAAACTCCACTCAGAAAGGCCCTGGTCCAACCAGGATTCGAACCCAGGACCTTCTTGCTGAGAGGCGAGAGTGCTATCCACTCAGCCACCGTGCCGCCCAAAGAGGTCCCATGATGCCAATCGTAATCGCGATCAACGGTTACCCGCTAAAAATAAGTACAAAGTAGTGAGTCCACCCTCTCGGAGGACTCATTTCACCTGGAGAAGCATCTGCAAGCTCTAATGAAGTGTTATCTGTGAGTAATCATGTTACACTTCCCTCATAAAAACTAGACCTGGGGTTCTTTTTAGCTTCATCCATGCTAATATCAGGAAGTCCTGGTTCAAACTCTTCTGTGTTTCTGCCTTTTATAACTGTTGGCTTTAGTTTTTTGGAAATTCTGCATTCTCTGGTGATGTAATTTATCTCAATATGCTCAATTTTATAATATGCTCAATGTCCGATGGAGCAGAATGTTTTTCCCCACTACCATTTTTTCGATCCCTACTGTTTCTTATTCATTATACACGTTATATCAAGAACTTTTCTTAAACATGAAATGCCCTCGCAGATATTCTTGCAGTCATGTTTGACAACCAAAATGAATGGGAATTAATAAAGGGGTCCCAGGATGCCAATTGTAATTGTGATCAACGCTTAATATTTTTGAGCAGGTCATGCACGCTTTTACGGTATTTCTTCACGCCTGGACTATAGCAATGCACTTTATGCAGGCATCCCCCAAAATAGACATTCCTGTCTGCAGTTGGTCCAAAAATCAGTGGCACGAGTTTTAACAGGAAACAGAAAGCGCGATCACATTACACCAATTTTGGCATCATTCATTCATTTAAGAATCAATTGTAAGATTTAGTTTGTTTTAAACACTTTGAATGGACTGGCCCCTCCTTACATCTCGGACCTCATTCAAATTTACCACCCGCCCAAATTTACCCCGGCCAGCTTCAGCTCGTGGTACCTAGGACGAGACTTAAAACCCGGGGGACAGGGCCTTCTCTGTGGCTGGACCAAAGCTGTGGAACGCTCTGCCCCCGTATTTCGTTTTTTTATCTTATTTTAATAAGATAGAAAAATAAGATTTAAAGAACTTTAATTGTTTGATCTTATTTCATTGTATTTTGTCTTGTTATTTTTATATTTAGGGGCAACAGTGGCTCAGTTGGTAGAGCATTGGCCTTTGGGCCTGAAGGTCGTGGGTTTCGAGCCCACCGCAAGACCTACCTCACGACTCCCACTGATGTCTCAGTAGTACACACAGTTTTTCCTTTTTGATTTTTTTATGATTTTGGATGGATTTGTTTTAGTTTGTATTTTATGGTGCAGCACTTTGGAAAATGTGTCTATTAAATGTGGTATAGAGATAAAGTGGATTGGATTGGATTAGATTGGAATTGTTCAGGTGTTGGTTTAAATTCCAGAGACTGGCCACAAAGTTAAATTCCACCCTTCAGTGTCCTGTATGTGGAAAGTAAGACATGTTTTCCATAAACACAGACAATACTTGTTATTAACATTCACAAATAAGCATTTTGTGCAACAGATATTTGGGCCTCAGCAGGCTGGTGAATTCCCTTTCCTTCACCGATATTATTTCTTAACTGTACATTTACTTCACATTTTTCTGCAATCTTTTGTTTTCTGAATAGTGATACATGTTAAACCCCTATGCTGGCTTTGGTTCTTACAGCCTCCCTTCGGTGTCTCTCTTGTCCCGACGATGGCCATGATCTGATCTTGGCTGTAGTGTTTACGGTAGGCCCTCCAGCTCCAGCAAAGGCAAAGCCTTCACCAAGGCAGAGGCGGAGTGCTCTCCCTGCTGGAGTAATTACTGCGGTCAAGTGTTAAGCGCAGTCTGCCACTTGTTATTGTTTGCAGCTGTAAAAGTGGAAGCACCAGAGCTCAGTCGGCTCTGCTATAACAACAGTCACGCTCTCAGAATACATCTGCAGGTGCACTAGAGGTTTTCAGACTGCTATTTAAGAAGGAGAATGCATTATGAATAAGGGATTTACTTCAATCATCTGTATCTCAATGGACCCACTGTCTATTCTGCATATACTTCCAAAACATAGCACACAGTTAACGTTTTGTGGCTTCCATACTGCACGATGATTAGTCCAGAAGATGTACTGCTGTCTTCCCAGGCCTCCAGTCCCTGAGTGTGGTGTAGACCGTCATTTACAATGTTTCGGTTTTATATAGCATTTTTTTGGGCACTGAAAGAAGCTTCACATTAGTCTTTCATTCCATACACGGTGGTGATAAACTACTAC